AAATCCTTGTTGACATTAAGGTTGTGTATTCATAATTTTTCAGTAGTCATGATTTTTGTTTTCTTCATGTCCAGCTACACTCCTTTTTTTGCACTTTTTCAGTTTTGAGTATGGGAAATCTTAAGAGATTGCTTAGCATTTGTGAAATAATCCTTTTAAGATCAACTTGCTATATTCCTGATATTCCAGGAAGTCTGACATAATTTCCCTACTTCTTTATATTTAACTTCTTTGGGGTTTTCAAAGAGGCCAGCTAATGTACTCCTCTTAGTTGGTCATTATTCTGAAGGAACCCAAGATTATAGATCCCAATTAAATTTTTCTAGGATTAGTACATCATAATTATACACCATTATCAGCACATAGGAACAGGCAAGTGAAGGCAGAAGGACTGGCCAGAGATGAGCTGGCCCAAGCATCCAGAATGAGAGAACACTGAGGAGCAAAAGTGTTGCAGAAAGTCAGATTTGTCCCCTCTTGACTTAGCTTAAAGGTAAAGGTTTCCCCTTGACATTAAGTCCAGTCATACCTGACTCTAGGGGGCGGTGCTCATCTCCGTTTCCTAGCCGAGGGAGCCAGTGTTTGTCCGCAGACAGTCTCCATGGCCATGTAGCCAGCATGACTAAACACCGAGGTGCACGGAACGCTGTTACCTGCCCACCAAAGTGGTACCTTTTTATCTACTTGCATTTGCATGTTTTTGAACTGCAAGGTTGGCAGGAGCTGGGACGGAGCAACGGGAACTGACCCCATTGTGCAGATTCGAACCGGCGACCTTTCAATCAACCAGCCCAGCAGCACAGTGGTTTAAACCACTGTGCCACCTGCAGTTCCCTGACTTAGCTTAGGCAGACCTTAAAAAATACTAAGTTTTGTTAAATGGCTTGCTATGTTCTTAATTTGATTATTCTGTTTTAAAGTTCTGTATCACCTCAGGAGCCCTTTGAAGCAAAAAAGTCAAAGGTTAAAAGATAATTATTTTAAATAAAATGAAATTTAATTGGGGGATTGTATTCCTCAGCATTAGCTGTCCATATAATGACATAACTACATTTTCCATTTTGGATGGGTTTCTGGCACTATGGGAATGCAATATCCTTTGACTTCTTTCACATCCATCTCAACTGTTCAACGCCTTCTGCTGCATTATACATCTCACCAATTCTCAGATGTATAGGCCAGAGACGATGAATTAACTTAAGCAAACTAGCTACTAATTTGAAACAGTAGTTTGATAGCCATCAACAATTTCTGTGACCTTTCCCTTCCATTAAGGAGAGATTTTGCCACCCAAACATAACCAGTGTATTTGCATTCATTATTTGTAGAAAGCAAGCAGCAGAGGTAAAGATCTGAACTTCCTCTAAGATTCTTCTGTCCACCTCTAAGGTCTGGGTATCCATTTGCAGGGCCAAGTCCAAGTATACACCCAAACTGTAAGCTGGAGTCTTCAGGGGGAACGTCACCCCAACGCCCCCAACTCCAAGCTGAATCCTATTCCCTGCCCTTCCTTTCAATGAACTAGAAGCAATTCTGCTTTGTCTGGACCAAGATACAAATTGTTTGATGTCATCCAGTCCATTACAGACATCAGCTTCCAAATTTAGTACCAGAACCACCTCCTTGGATAGTTCAATATTGGAGTTGGGTGCCGTCGGCATACTGGTGGCACTAAATGCCAGAATTCCCCAGAGGTTTAAGCATAAGCTAAACAGTATAGGGATTCTTGTTATTTAATTTCTATTTCACCCAATAGTCAAAGCCCTTGGAATCCTGATGTTTGGCACAAGCCAGTGGCCACAGTCGGACGGGAATCCCACAGCACCACCTTCGGAAACTTGCTAGATGTTTGGTTGCTCTGCTTAGGTGGGACCTGTACTACAGCAGTTCTGAAGGAGCTACATTGGCTCCCAGTACGGTTTCAAGCCTGATTATCTTTGAAGCCCTAAATGGCGTGGAACCCCTTTTTAATACACATGCTATTTATAGTGTAAGAGCGATCATCCATCAAACTGAAGAGGCACACTGAGTCTGGGTAGCAAGAGCTTCAGTGCTGCATTATAACATTTCTTCAACAAAGTCTGTTCTGACAAGCGTAACTGAGAAGACACTTAGTTTACTTTCAGAGCAATGCTGCTTATAACATTTGAAAAACAGCATTGTGCTTCTCAGTCAAGCCTTCTGCAAAAAAGGGTGTAGGTACAGATGATAACGGAAAACAGATGTTTTATTTTTCATTTGTAGAGCACATCAGCTGCTTATCTAGGGTAAAAATCTAAGAAGCCAATTTTGGGTGTATTTTGCATGGTATGTAAATGGAGTGCTGGTGGGGTTTGGTCCATTTAAGGTATTCCATTCTGCTGGGTAGAACCTATTTTTGGCCACTAGCAGCATCATATGTACTTTGAGCCAGGAAACCCTGCCATTCCAGTCCAGCATTACTTTGAAGCCATGCTCAGCAGATAAATAAATAAATGTACAAGAGTTCTACACACCTTAATAGCATTTGTGGAGCTAATGCAAGTATTAAAAATGCAAAGTGTAATGGTTCCCTTCTAAAAAGTTGGGTTGCACATCTCATTAAGAAAGTTCCATTGCACTTAATACGCTGCTATTATATACTTTATAAAAAGCAATAATAGGAAGTCAGCTGTGGTACTCAGTATGGTTTTTATACAGTGACTGTGACTGAAATTGAAGCCTAGTGAGATGGATTTATGTAGTCCCAATAATCCACACTGAGCTAAAGATGAGCTGTTGTAATGGGCTTCATGTTGCACTTCCCTTAAAATTACTTCAGAAGCTGCAACTAGTGCAGAAGGCGCTAGTTGGATGTTCAGTGGGGTTTTGTCCTAGGCACACGAGTCTCATGCTGAATGTCCACATGTGACTGCCAGTTAGCTCCTGAGCCATGCTCAAGGTGATATTACTGAGGTACAAAGCCATTGGATGCTCAGGACAAGGTTACCCGAGAGATGGCCTTCATGTAAAGGTTGCCTTGGTCTTTATTTTCTGAACAGGAAGCCTTGCTTACTACATCAATAGCCACTTGGACATGGTGGGAAGGGCCTTCTCCATTTTGGCACCCACCATGTAGCACCATCTCTCCATCAAGATCAGGTTCTAATGAACATTAGCAAGCAAGAAATATATGCACACACATGGTATCTGAGGGTCTTATATAGTAAAATTTTGGGCTCATTTTATTGAAGTATTTTTATTCTACATTTCCATCAAGTTTCAAGGGAGGTCTCAGTGACAAAATATTAAATTGGTTATCTTAAAAGCCTCTGATCATAGAAGAGAATAAAGCAGCCAGCAAGAGAGCCAAAAACATTGCAGTCAAAATAGTGTTAGTCCAGGCCAAGTTTTCTCAAAGAAGCATATTTTAACTTCTTGCTAAGCATATGCACCTCTTTGGCAAGCAGAATACTCCAGCCTGTGAAGTGACCACTAATGAAGCCTCCATTGTTGAATTAAGACAGTAGCCTGGCTGTTGTGTTGTGAACCAGCTGACGACCACGGCCAAGACTTACTTCTCCAGTAAGGGATGCAGCTGGTGCATCAGCATAAGCTCAGGGCTGGCACTGCTGCTACCTGGACAGCACTTGATTCAGGAAAACTCCCAAACTACATACCTGATTCTGCAGGTCAGCATACAGCCCCCTCCAACATAGCCTGGACACTTATACCTAGAACAGTTAGACCTCCTTCCTTCTTGTCTGGATTATGTTTCAGCTTATTTACCTCTATTGTGTCATCAGTGACCTCAGGTCTTGGCTGCCAGTCTCCGAGAAAAAGATGCAAGTTAGAGATCAAGTTGAGTGGTGATCAACAAACTGATGACATTGCAGCCCAAATCACTCAACAGTTTTATGTGAATGTTAAAGAGCATGTGGAACAACAGAGACCCTTAAGGCACCGTACATGCTACAGAGAGAACAATATTCCTCAGCATTATCTTCTGACTGCCAGTTCAGGGTTGGAGCCACCAAAGTAGTTTCCATCTCCATCTCCAAAATCAGAAAAAAGGGTGATCCCAACACCAAATCAGATAAATATCAGACAATTCCTTTTCTCTAGGAATAGAAGAGCTGAGATGCTGCTCTGTGGTCCATTGCATGGCTTAAAAATGTTAAATGGGAAATTAACCAATAGTTATCTTGGTCAGCAGGATCTAATGCATTTTTTTCAAGCAGGATGGCAGAGTATTCCTCAGGGATATGTTTGCATCCTTCACCATCCAAGATGCCAGTTGCCCTCTGGCAGCTTGAATCACCCAGGAAATGTATGGGTCAAAAGCACCGTAGTCCATGTACATTCAGAATTATGGTTGTCCCTGTCAAGCAATTTATTTCACTCCATCTTGGAAGTAACTTTCACAAAGTGTTAACTATTTTCAAAACTCCACAAAATAAAGGTGATGAATATACATGGTCTGATCTGCATGTAATGCTAACTCACAGCTTGTATTGTTGAGTTCTGGGATGTCATGCTGTGTGAACAAACTAATCATGCGTTGTTAATTTTGAACACCCCAGAACCCACAGTTAGTTGCTGGGTTGTGAACCTTGGATTGTTTAAACCATAGGTTCTGGTTATGTGTGAACCTAGAGCAGTGGGTTGTTCATACATTTTTTACCAGGTTACTGAGTCAGTGGGCAAGAGTAGCTAAAAGAACAAAACACACAGCCACTCTACATGCTAGTACTACAGTGTTGCAAAAGCATTTGGGATGGAGGGAAGGAAAAAGCAGGGAGACAAGGGAAATAATCAAGACAGTGCAAAAATAAACCAGTCTGTTCTACAATCTGTCAAAGAGACTGGATAGCAAAACACCAAAATAAACTAGGGATTTGCATTGTGTGTGAACTAGGCCACTAAATTTTAACAAGCCTACCTTGCCACGTTATTGGTTTTCATGGTTTTCCAACAATTATCTCTTTCAGATTAGCAATTTAAAATGATTGTTTTAATTACCAGTAAACCAATTCACAGTGTTCTAGATAAAGCAATTTATTGTTCAAAATCATGGACGTTAGAGACCGTTTCTGGGAATACATACTTCACCAATAGTCTATCAGCATTGCTGAACAATGTCAAGGTTGCTCTTATTTAATGAAGATTAAAGTCAACATAACATAGAATGCTGCAGGACCAACAATTTTAGAAAAACTAAAGATGGTCTCTCCATAAAGAACAAGCAGTGAACTGCAATACTGAGGTACCCATCACAATTTCTTTCCAGCAACTAACTGCATAGATCCTTCTGTGTATTTGAGACTGAATATTTATTCTGCATAGCTTTTACAATGTAACAGAATCAAAATTCACTGTATTTAAACCTAAAGCAGCATATTACACATGCACTGATAAAAACACATTCCGTGTAGTACTGCTGTCATTCAAAACATCCTACAGAATTTTTGAATTCTTGGGGAAAGCATCCCAATTTCAAATGAGATCTCTCCATGAAAAGAAATCTAAATCACAGCATCCAAGAAAATGGATTAACTCAGTATTCAGCTGTTGTTTGTGCAGCATGAACGTACACAGTCTTCATATTTAGAGTCTTCATTGAGGTTTCCTTTGTAATCTCTGAAAAAGAAGATAAAAGTTTATTAGCAAGAGCAGCAGCAGTAGTAATTTATTTCCTTTTCAAATAAATTAACACTTTCTCAATGAAAGAAGCTTGAGCAGTAAGTCTTAAAGAAAATTCAGATAACATTTATTTATTTAAAACATTGGTGTGCTGCCTAGTGTGCCACAGCCTCTCTAGGTGGCTCACAATCAAATTAAAAACCATTATAAAAACTAATCATACAACTGAAAACACCACAACCCCTAAAATGCAGAAAACAAAGTAAATTAAAACACAGATAAAATATAAATAAAGGTTTGTGGCATCAGATACTAAAACTCAAATCATACCATATTACGCAACACATATCAAAGTAAAATATTAATTTATACTTGCAATACCCTGCAGAATGATTTGAGTTGTGTATATCAAAATCAGTTTAAGGAAAGCTATGCACAGCCAAAGAAGTTCATATTCACATTCTACACCTTCTAACTCTACTTCTTGGGGTTGGCTCCAGAAGATGTGCTGAAGGACTCCTATTCCATACCTTGGCCACTGGCCCATAGCATCTCTCAGGGATTTGTCTTCCGTGTTACTTATTAATCCACAGAAAACAGCTGGGAGAGGTCTGGAACTATATTTCTTTTTCATCTAATGCCAAGAAAGATGTTGGGGATCTGACCCAGAGCCTGGAGATTATATATAGGTTGCGGGGATGACAGCTATCAAACTGAAACTTAATTCAGGCAAACAGATGGGTCCCTGATCAGGAAGGAAATGAAGCCAGCAATGGGAAGTCCATCTGTTCTGGATAGGGCTCTGCTCCTCTTGAAAACTTGGGTTTGTGGCTTGTTACTAATCTATTGTGAAGGAACAAGCTGGTGAGTTCCGAGAAAGGGAGCAGAGTACTCAGCTGGATGAATTATAAGCCTGATCCATGTCATTTGGATGGCATATGAGCTCCAGCATTGCAGATGCTTCCCACACTGGTAATAGTTGAAAAGAAGTGACCATTTGGAATGGGCAGGCTATGTGATGCCTTTACATTTCATGCCAGCTAGTTTATGCACACAGTCAGTTCCCTTGAAATTTTACTGATGCAGCCATGCTTTTTCAGTAACAACTTATGAACTGGGCCATCTCTAAGGTGTCACAGTCTATTCCTTACCAATCTTCTCATCATCTATCAGAATAAAAAACTGATCCTAATGCACCACTGGTAAATTTTCCCATCTTGCCTTTCTGTAATATGAATAAATTTAATACTAGTATGGGGACAGAAGACTGCAAACACTTTTGACTCTTTAATGAGGCTGGCTGGAGAATAGCCTCAGTCAAAATATCCTGACAGCATTTAATGTTTAAGGACATTTTGGTAAATCTTAACTGGTTTTATTTATTTATTTATTTATTTATTTATTTATTAAAACATTTTTATGCCGCCCCATTCGCCGAAGCCTCAGGGCGGTTTTGATGGTTAAGAATGTATTCAGTCCATTCAACATGTTGCACTACGCTTTTTTCAGTTACTTTTGCAAGTCTCCTAAGCTTAGTCAGTTGTAAAAAATGAATAAAAGAACCAAGCACACAGACTGAAATAATGCAAGCTTGGAGTCTGACTGCCAGAAGCAGAGATTCACTAGGTGGAACAGAGCAGGCCCACTGCTGCTTTCCTGCTGCAGCGTTACGAGAAACTGCTGCTGAGGTTTGGAGGCATCGACAGCTGCAGTGAGAAAAGGAATGCGGAGGTGCACCCTGCTGGTTTCAAGCCGATGGAATTTAAAGATCTGTATCCCACCTCTCTTTGGGCTCAAAACATCTTACACTTGCAAAGAATTAAATGCATCCTATGAAAATCAGAGGTGTTAAAATAAATGGAAAAAACTTTCCAGACAGGTACGTATGGCTTCCTGAGCGAGGTAGTTAAAGTCATTACACAATTGCCCCTGTACTGTACAATCCATTCTGTTGTACCAATAAAGCTAGACTCAAGGTGCATGTTTCACTAGAATTTTCACATCCTGTGGAAAGCACTCTTCCTTTCACTGATTTTTCAATATAGTGTATCTATAAAGGAAAGAAAGTACTTGCAGTACACAGAGTTCTGCCTTGCAAATAACATTTAGATAGCAGGAGCAAGTGCAACCAGCTGCTGTTTTGACACCCAGTGCTTTCTCAAAAACTAGCCATCTCATTCCCAGAAACTGCTGGATCATCACATAGTCAAAACAGGTTGCCTGTGTGATAGTGCCACTGAGAGCAATGAAGCCAATTCAGAATAAAGGCAATGCTTCCTGGCCTCATTTTAGCGTTGCACCATTTTCATGTCCACAATGTGATGCACAGATTGGATGGGATCACACTAAAAGGAAACTGAAAATGAGGAGGGCAACCTGACACTAAGCAGAATATCAGAAAACAAATAGCCATAGACCAGAGGCAAACAAGCTGTTGATATCAGTTGATATGAAATCCCAGTCTCTCTCTCTCTTACACACACATAGAGAGCTGTATTTTACTGAAAATGTGCATTCAACATCCAGTGTAACCCTATTAACAACACATGCAATTCTGCTGCAGTTCAAAACATTTGTGAAAACACACACACAGAATTTTTATTACTGTCAGACAAATAGTATAATAAAAGTGGATGCTCCTGTCCATACATGTTCTGCATGCAGAAAATCCCATGCATCTTCAGAAAGGGCTAGAAATGAATGCTGCCAATCAGTGCTGACAATACTGTGGTAAACAGACCAAGGCTCTGACTCGCTATAAGGCAGCTTCCTATGATCTTGCCTAGTTCCCCATTATTTCTCTCACTCTTCTTCTGCTTTTCTATTTATGAATCATTCACCATCTGTCTTTTGCTGTGATTTTTATTACATTTTGTGGCTTTAATATAAAAGTTAATTATGAAGCTGTTATACAAATATTCATAATTGTACTGCAATATACACTGATTAAGTGCAACAACTTTCAGTCAACAAACATAGCAAAAAAAGGATCCACACAGTACAACAGAGAGTTTTCACAGAGAGTCACATGTGGGAACTGAACAACAGTCAAACCAATTAGAAGTTTCCAATACGTTAGCCTTTTCCAACCTGGTGTTCTTCAGAGTATTTGGACTGCAACACCGAGAATTCCCATCCAGCAGGGCCATTGACTGGGAATTCTGGGGGCTGCAGTCCAAATGTAGCACCCAGAATTGTGGGCGCTGGAAGGCACAATGTTGAGGAAGACTGCAGTAGACAGATCCTACAGCTGCATCAGTTGTCTTGCTTTTCTCTACTGCATTGCAGCTGACCCCGTTAAAACATTCCTTAGTCCATACTCACAAACATAAGATCAGGGCAATAACGTGAAAGACTCATCATGACATTTAGTCATGCTATGAATCTATTGATACCGAGCCAAGTACAAGAAGAAAATGCCACTGCAGTATGCAAATAATAACCTGCACTTTATAGCCCACCTTATCTCACAGTTAGAAGTCAGGTCTAGAAGGCTATCTGGATCCTCAGCACTCTTCTCTGGCACAAACATCTGCTAGTCAGACCTTATTAACAAAACAGCCGGGTGGAGTGGGGATGGAGAGAGAATAAGCCTGGGCATGTTTATTCAGAAGCTCCTATTCAATGATATTTGCTAGCTTGTAAGTGTGCCTAGTACTGCAGCCTTAATTTTGCTCTGGGCTGCCAACTTTCCTAAAAAGTTAAAACGTGTTGGATGAAAGTTACTCTTTTATGCAGGAGCCAAGTCACAACCTCTGTATACTGCTCCATCTTGCAGTCCAAACCAGAAATTCTAGTAGTCACAAAATAAGTTATGCTTGAAATCTATACAGCCTGCCATGCCAGTCGTGGCCATTTCTTTTTCAGCTAATTTACCTGGAGTGCTAATATTCTGCAATTTGTTTATGCAGATACTTAAAATGTCTATTCCAACAAGAGGCTAGCTGCCACTGATTTAATTAAAAGCTACTAGAGATAAACACAGTCTCCCTTTAAAGAGAAATCCAAAGACTGTGGTTAGCAATATACCAGTATGTAAGATAAGCCTGCAGAAATGAAAACTACATGGGAAAAAAACAGAAGGATGCATTCCATTGCAATATGTACACAATTCCCTGACATTTATTTCACGGTGCTTTAATGAGTTCTGTCACCTTGGGTAGACATGGCATCCAAAACAGGTAAATGAGAGCATTGTTTCTTTTGTTACAACAGGGGCACATAAATATATGTGCTGTGAACAGCATTTAGATTCAACATACCACACATAGATCCAACTTGCTTCTCATTGTATTCCAATATTTGCTCAACCCTTTGCTAAGGACTGGTTTACAAGGTTGGGTTTTCTCTTCATTCTGGCACTGCAGCCAAATGAAGCCACTACTTTAAAAAAGTCTTTATGTTCACAAGTTTGTTTTGTGGGGCTGTGTTTGTTTACTTTGCAAGCATGCCTCTCCTGTGCCCCTTCAAGCTATGAGAGTGAGCTGTCTCCTGTCAAGCACCGTTTTGCCTTACATCAGACTTATCATCCCCTTAAGTTTGCCTCTCATGTGTCATGTTCAGAGAACTGGAAAACTGAATCTGCAGCGGAAGCTTCTCGGTATTTTGCTCTTGAATTCATTTATTTTAAAGATGCCTATATTGGCTGCTGCTGTTCTGTGAATACTCCGGGTGGCCTCTGAGAGGCTATAATGTATGCATGCAGACCTAAGGTCTAATGTAGTCACTGTGATAACAGCCTATTTAGTATTACCTGATTACTAGCATTATGAAGCTAGGAGGAGAGATGATCCCTTTGGATATTTATAGAAGGGACTGGATCAGGCAAATTTGAATCTGATCAGCTGGGGATTCTGGCCAGGAGGAAAAGAACAACTGGGAATGATAACTGACAGGAAAGGATTCAGGGAGTCTCTTCAGGTAATCAGTAAGCAGGTCTACTGGCTGGTGGATGGGGTTGAAGATGGACTAAAAGGAAGTTGAGGAGAAAGTAAGCTGCTAAGGCCTCAATATTAAACTATTCCGTCCCTGTGATGGCTGGAGAATATTAGGAGCAGGGAACAGGTGGCTGTGGGAAGCCAGGAGGCTGCCCTACAATCTTGCCAGAAGGTTATACAAGCAGTCATGAAAACCCAGATAAACTATCTAAGGAGCCAGAAATACAACAGGAGGCACTTTGGGACTCAGAGAACTGTACTGAAGAGCTAGACCTAGTTGGTAATGTATTTGGCAGGGGTGGAGGCTTAGAAATTTGTTTTGAGGTAAAAAGGAAATTACTGCCTTGTAATAGGAACTGTATCTTTAGACCTTAACCATTGTCAGCAAGCAGTCTTTTAAAAGTCCTAAAGTATTAGAATTCCTTTACGTACAAAATACCCCTTTAGTAAACCAACTTGCTCAATATGTCATCTTGTCTCTACTGTTGGTGTTCATCTTATGCCTAAGCTTTTTATACCAAGCTACTAGGAGGTTTTGAAGTATTTTAAGAGAATTGGTGGCATCAGAAAAGGATCAGCCTGTGGAACTCTGAGATATAGTTTGAGAAAATTCCTTAGGCCCTGATGCACCAGCATTTGCTAAATATGAGAAACCCCCAAGGGGAGGAACCATTTCCCCACAGGTGAGGTTGTGGCAGCACTAGAAAGAAAATCCTCCATTATCCATGTAAGTCCATATCCCTCCCCCTTTCCCCCCAATCATCTGCTTTGCAGCTGTTTCTTGATCCACAATAAGGAGGTAAGAAATGACCTTTCAAGCCTGGCGAATGTGAGGAAACCCTCTTCCCCCCCAGTTCTCCCTGATGACTTAGAGGGACAAGAGTGGGAGTCATCTCTCACTTCCTGCCTGATGGCAGACAATAGTTGCTGAAGTCATGCCTTTGACTGCCACTGGGGGCCATGTGTGTGAACAACAGATAAGATTCTCTGGCACTGCACTGTATCCATTAACAACTACCTGAAACAAATCCATCTTTTCTCCTAAATATCACTTAACAGTATGTTTCTGAAGAGGGTCTCACTATAAAATGTTTTTGCATGAAACTATTTAAATAAGTGATTCAAGCAAAATAAGTCACAAGTTTAATGTCAATGTTCTCAAATAACCATTGGCAATTTAAAACTAGATATCCATAAAATAACTTAAGGCAGATCACACATGTCAATATGCTTAATCAATAGTTCTGTGTTACTAAAAGTTCTGGATATTAAGACAAGCCCAAAAGAAGGTTTTTTATATTTTTAAAGAGTTTGTTACTAAAGTTGCAGCATACATTAAAAAAATGTAATATTCATGACTGATCAACCTACATTAAGCTAAGTGATGCATTTAGACTTAAAAACAGCCTTAACTTACTGAAATAATATAAAACAAAATAGATATTCTTGAATGAGATATATTTCAAGCAGTCAATATCCAATTACTATGCATCTTATCCTTTGCCAATTATTTTACCAAGCCAGTCATTTCACTATCATAATTGTTAGACAATCTAGATGGAACATTTGCTGTAATAACTTTTTTTCCCCTTGTACCATTGACAGAGGCTGAAGACAAACATCACTCTAACAATAAAATGCCATATCCAACTCCCACTAGGCAATACATTTTCAAAAGTCATCAAGATTTCAAGTACTGCTTCCATTTTCAATTATACAAGATGCTGTATTTTATTCTTCATGCCTATTTTAAAAGTTTAATGACAGCAAATGCCTCAGTTTCAAATGCCTTATGTGCTGAAACTATACCAGCACAACATACCCAATTGTGAAGCGTCTCCATAATAGAATGGGAATGCAGAAAGACCTTTTGTGAGCCAATACCTATTTCATTTTCAGTTTTTAACTTTGTAATAAAAGCAACATACTTGAACAAAAATATCCTGGAACAAACGTACCATATTTTTCGCTCTATAAGATGCACTTTTTTCCCCCTCAAAAGTAAGGGGAAATGTCTGTGCGTCTTATAGAGCGAATGTGAGTGTGCCCAACGCCCGGGACACTGCCAGCCGCCTGCACCACGTGGCACCACCTGGCCGGCACGTGCTCGGCGCGCCCTGCTCCGCCCCCCCTCCAGCGTAGGTGAGAGCTGTGCCGCTCAGGGGGAGGCGTGCAGGAGGAGGAGGAGCTGCGGCCTTTAACCCGCTGGATGCACGGAGAGCACGGAAGGACAGACTGCTCACCCCCACTGCCTGGGAAGACCTGCCGCCGCCACACAGCCCGGAAGACCATCGCTGGCACGCTGCCGGCCGCCTGCACCACGAGGCACCACCTGGCCTGCACGCGCTTGGCGCACCCTGCTCCGCCCCCCCTCCAGCGCAGGTGAGAGCTATGCTGCTCAGGGGGAGAGGTGCAGAGGAGGAGGAGCCGCGGGCTTTAACCCGCCGGCTGCACGGAGAGATGGACTGCTTACCCCCACCGCCTGGGAAGACCTAGTGCCGCCCGGAAGACCACCACCGGCACGCTGTCAGCCCCACGTGGCACCACCTGGCCGGCACGCGCTTGGCATGCCCTGCTCTACCCCCCTCCTCCAGCGCAGGTGAGAACTGTTAATCACAGGTTGGTGTGTGTTTTCAAATGGCAACCCGTCTTTTAAGGAAGCCCATGGGGAAGTGATGGGGAATGTGCCTGTGATTATCAGGAAGCTTTCCATGGATCAGTTATCTGTTAGTTGATCAGACACATTTTTTTTAGGATCAGCAGATATTTGAACAGCATTACCTTCATGTATGAAGTTTATTCTTCAAAGGCTTAGTTCGCTGTGTGTTTGATTTACCGTACAGTATCTCATTTTTTGTCAGAAGTTTTTTTCTATTATTTACTAGTAGGGCAGCATGGACATTACTGGCTTTTTTAGATTTGTTATTGAATTGTCTGTAGCAGCTCTTGTATAACTGGTGTAGATTGTGGATTCCTTCAATAATTCCACTACTGACTAAGAAAGTGATGTCAGTGATTGTGAGCGACAGAGCTTCATAAATTCTGACTCTAGTGATGATGAGTTCTATGGGTTCAACGAAAACTAGAAGAGTACTCGAACTTTAAAGTCTCTCTTTTGTTAATGACAGCGATGACGGTTCTTAATGCCACTGTTGACTGCTGTTCACTTTACAAGGTTGAAATACGGTATTACTGTATTCTGTTATAGTTTATTAAATAGTTTAGTAAACCATTTGATTCAGAATGATTTTTTCTTGTTTTCCTCTTCTAAAAACTAGGTGCGTCTTATGGTCAGGTGTGTCTTACACAGTGAAAAATACGGTAGTTTACCAAAAAACAGAAGGGTTGGATGTGCCATGAGAGACATTTTCCTTTAACAGATTGGCCTTGTTCTCACTGGGGTAATAAGCCTGTACTAGTAAAACCTATGCACTGGCTGTACAACTTTAGATTACCACTGGAGGAACTCACATGATTGAATGATGCTCCAGACAAGATAATTTCCCACACTGGAAATTATTATGTCAAATAACAGGCTTCTAATCCAGTTTTCTCCCTGCAATGACACAGAGGTTTATAATCCCTCGGCTCCCATTGAGCAGGACCCATCTGTATCACAATGCTACTGTAAATGTAGTTGCACTAGCAGAACTACACACTAGAGGAAAATGCAGCTAAAGTTACATATGTGTGAGCACAGTTGTGCATTATACCTGCACAACCATTTGTGTAAGTGCAATGGGCAACCATTTATGCAAGAAAAATAGCAGAGTTCTACTAGTAATATTTGGATACTGTCCTTCTCTGACTACTTTTTTTTAAAGTACTAGTAAATATCTTAATGATTTTTTTCTTTATGCAAATTGCCGGTGTGTTTGGTAAGGAGAACAATATCGATTGTGGCTGCAGAATGGGACAAAGGACTGAACCCACAAGGTCTTGCTTGATTATCAGGTCCTCTGAGCTTGCTTTCGAGTAAGTAAAAAGACATGATGCAATTGCATGCCACTTGTTAATACGTAGTTTAAGCTTAGGCAAAAGGCCTGAGTTTATGAAATGTAACTAATGACTTAGAAAAAACTTTAGAGAAGCTTAGAAGAGTAGGAGATTTAACCCAACATGACACAGTTAACTTGTTTTGATGAGGTCAACACTACTTACCCTCTGTTAATGCTTCATCCAGGAACAATTTTAGCCGCCTGCTTCTGAGTCCAAACACTTTCCCTGTTTCATGTAGGAGCCCTTGATATGTTAGTCCATTCTGACCGACTGGGTTTTCCAAAAGAAGAGTTCCCACCACTCCATTCAAACACTCTAGAGAACACAAGTTGTTATAATTTCTTAGCAGAGGTGATAAACAAAACAGAGTATCTGTTGTATCTTTCAAGGACAGATTTCTCCTGCACTCTCCTGGAAATGTTACGTCAGCTTCCCACTAAACTCCAAGACATCTTCTTATCATTGGCTATCTAGAGGATTATACTGCCATTCATTATTCTACAACTAATTTTTATTAAATGTATGATATTCTTATTCACACAACTTTGCATAGAACAATTTACAACACCTACAGAAGTTGTATACCTTATATACTGGTGTATAAGGAGGCTCACGTTTAAGAGAAGGTTGATATTTTGGGCTATTTTTCTGGTACTTGCCATGCCCAGCTTTTAAGATGATCCCTAATTTTTGCTTCGCTATTTTTCATTTCAAGGGGCTCTTACATGCCAATAAACACAGGTATTTGTCAGCCAGAAACTTCTAGAATCTTGTGACATCACATTACCATATTTTAGCTAATAGTTACACTCCCTCTCCAATTTGGAGGGAGACGGCAGCCCGCAAAGGGGCTGGCTGCCTGGGATCAGTTGGAGAGGATGGCCACCAGCGGGTGTGGGGAGGAGGGCCCTGCAGGCATAACACAAGATGAGCTCCTAACAGTAAGTAGGGTTTTTTTAATGATTATTTAAAAAAAGATGAACTTGTCTTCATTAACTACCCCCTTTTTAAAACAATGAATATAATACGATGAAAATTGTTCACCTTGTGTATAAGACAATCTCCTGATTTCTGGTTTTAAGGATCATCTTATACACCAACATATACAGTAAATGAGGTCAAATTGGTAACTAAACCTGCACAACATGAAGAGTTTATAATCATATGCCATGAGATTGTCATTGCATGCTCAGCTGCTGATAAACTCAGAATACCTAAATTCATGTTATATCCTTGAGTAGCAACTGATCTTGTCAACCATGTCTTCACATTCAGATAACACCTAGTCTTTCGTTCTCTCAGTCACACTCCTACCTCCTTGACTTTCCTCTCTGCCTGTCCCATTGCTTTTTCTGTCCTCTTCTACTTTTTCTCTGACATTTAGTAACTCCTTGCAGAAGAAAGACACACACAACAGAAAGCTGCTATGTGCTAAATCCTTTGCAGTGCCACTATTAAGGATGGAGGGGAGGTGAAGAGCATGCCTGCACCTGCTTAGTGCTCTAATGGTGGGTCATGGGTAACCACGGCATCTGGAGGCAGGAAACAATGCCTAGAACAGTCGTGCATTTATCTGGACTTCCAAAAAGGCCCTAAATTTAAATTTCAATAAACAATTTGATCTAGTGCCATATGATTAACTTCTTACATGGAGTACCTTGTGGTTTTGCATTCACTAGTTGTAAATTGATATACTGACAAAGGAAGCCATCAAGACTGTTTGAGGTTGGCAGTGACCCTGCAGTTACATGAAGCATCTTTCCACTGAGACTCAGCAAATCTGTCGGGTTTTTCAGCTCTGAAAAGTAGGAAAAGCAGGCAAAGCATTATATACCACTGCCCCAGTCATCAGCCACTACTGACCTGCTGTTACATAAGATGTTTTCCTTCTAGGAAGCAGTTCTCAGATATTTATATTCTAGCTGGAAAAATTTATGGTGAGAATTTGTAATAGTACTCACCTGCTGTGAATATTTTAGTTCAATTTGCATGATATAAGGAGAGTTAGATAAGAAACCATTCATTGATTTACCAGACCCAAACTGCCTCCTCACTCTGGTCCTTCTAGTCTATCAAAATGTTAGGTAAATTCCTGGAGAATAATGCTATCAATGCCATCTCGCTATGGGCACTATATACTTCCTCCAGAAAGAGACACCCTGGCTCTGAATACCGGTCAATGGGGAACAGCTGAAAGAGAAGGCGATGATCCTCATTGCCCTACTTCCTGGCTTTCCAAACATCTGTCCCCCCTCCCCCCCCAACAATGACCTTTCTAAAAAAGACATTTAAAATATGTAACTATTCTGACTCTATTTGTTGCCATATAATTTAGAACATTATTTAGAACAGATAAATAATTTAGAACATTAACTCAGTGTACTTCAGTAAAAGGGATATGGCTGGATTCTACATTCAAAATGCTGAGTGGCCTGAAGACTGAACCTTTCCAATGACCCTCATCAGAAAGTGACAGCAGACTCAGGGACATTGCTCTGTGTTCGTATGGCTTGGTGAGCATATCTGTCTTGTGCAGTTTCTCTTTCTCAGCTATGGACCCTTCCATAATGGACAGAAATGCAGCTCAAGACAAGGCAAACTAGAGATTCCATTGCCATACAAAAAAGTGTGTGAGAGAGAAAGGATGATGGGGAGAAGGTTCTCGTACAAGCTTGGGATATTAAATAAAGGAGAAATCAATTTCAGTTCTCAAATATGTGTATTTTAAATGGGGGCTTAATCTAGTTTGTCAACATTCAACACAGACTTGGTTTAGTTTTACATTTTAATGTTTGGTAATCCCAAACATTCAACAAATATTTGCATAACCAAAGATATCCTAGATCACTGCTATATTAAGGAAAGGCAGATGAACATGGCTTTCCTTCTGCTTTAGTTTGCTCTCTCATTATAGACAAATATGACTAGCTGCATGACAAAGTCACTCTCACTGAGGGGAAATGGTGCCATAGCTGCAGCCTGAAGAAGCTTATGTTGAAGTACTTTTGCCACCACCCCCTGAACTCAGGTGCAAAGCGACATGAGCTGCCTGAATCCTTGTACAAGGAATGTTTCTTTCTATCAGTCACCAAAAATCTTCCTCCCCACAACACACAGATACGGACACAGACACACACAGATTCCCAAGAAGGGAAGCACTTTTTCTAGGAAAGAAACTTGTAGGAAATCGCCCCCCTTCAACTTGGTCTCAGTCCTAATGAAATTGTTCCCACCATCATTTACTTTTCAACATCCCAGAAGTTTTTTTTTAAATCAACATGCTAAGATATCATGAATTCTGCAACATTCTGTACCTATGAATACTGTAGTGAAGAACATTTTAATATAAATGGAATCCTTTAAAATAAAGCAGTTTGCTTTAGGATCTACAGTGAAAGTATTTGCTACTACACATTCAAATGTCTCTAAAAATCAAAAACTCCCTATTTAAAAGTATTAAAGCCAGGAAGCCACCAACAGGGGACTTATAAGCTTCCCTAAGTGGCCCATATGTTGCCAAGTACTGCTCCAGTGTCACTAGTTTGAAAAACGTACTATGTAACCTAGAATAAAAATAGTCTTTTTTTTAACCAATCAGAAATTGAGTTAAATTTTTCTTGCACACCCCATGTTCTCTCACTGGAGGCTGCTACGTTTTATAGTACTACAGTATGGAATGCCCATATGAAGTACTTAAGAGCATGTACATCACAACCAAAGGCATTTAAACAAAATTGTGCTGAAAAACAAACCAGGAGATCATCAAGCCTCCTGAAGCCAGAGCACTACAAAATGACAATGAAGAACAGCCTTATGATCACTTTATCTTGGGAGACAGTTGTATATTCTGATGCTAGCAGACTCTGATAAGCTGTTACACCTTGTTCTTTGAAATCTTAAGTAGCCAGATAAGAAGTGCAGGGGTAGTCTCCTGAATATCCTACTTGAAATTAATCAAATTTACCACAGAAGCAACACGCAGAAAGATATTTTAAAACATAATTTAGAATTTGTTTATTTTGACAATGCATAAACTTCCTGTCACCATAAAAAGCAGGTCCAAGACTAGGCACACATCCAAGGAAATTTTGTCACCTATTCTATAAAAATACACTAATAGTTTTCCAAAATGCATGAACACTCACATGTATACAATAATGCACACACATCTTCACAGCTGTGTGCTTCACTCTCAACTACTACCTACCTGTTTTTCCATTGAAAATCACTAGCTTTGAATTGTCAAGTCCAAAAATGCATGAGATAGCATTAACCAGTTTGGTGAAATCTAATTTGTTATCTCCCTTGGGATTTTCCAGCAACACCATGCCATCTGGGGAGAGAAACAGAGCAGTAATTCTAAGAAACCAATTCTGCTTTATGAACAGATGATCAAGATTGCTCCACCTATAATGTGAATACACATGCAGAACAACTTAGCTAAATGATACAATAGTTCCTTCATATCCAGGAACTATCTTAGAAACATAGAAACATAGAAAACAGAGCGAGTCAGAAGGGGCCTCCTGGGCCATCTAGTCTGACCTCCGGCACCAGCCGGCTCCGCTCACGACATGCCCACCATGTGGACGTCCAGCCTATCCTTGAACACCCGCACCGACCATCTCCACCCCAATTAACAATAGTGAAAGAATAAATAAAAGAAGGAAGGATGGACAAGTAGGAACTAAATGCACTGTCCCAAAAGGTAAAGAAGCCTAAATCTGAAGTTCCTCTGATTATTTTTTTTAAATGGGCCAGGGACCAAAGATTGTATAATGACAGCATGGGACCAGAGGGGCAGGAACCTGACTTCTCCTGAACAGCCACTGAACCCCAATGCAAAGTGTCACACAGCAAGCCACTTTACAAACTAGAGACTTCTAGAAGGGACTTTTGATATGGTAGTGGGGACAAGCATTCAAAAAAGGAAGTCTAAAAAAGAATAGTCAAACACTGTGTGAGCCCAAGCACCTCTCTGGGTCCTGACTATAACATTACAAATGCTTTAAATGAAAGGATGGATGAGTAAAAACAATGGCTATTCAATAATAAAGGCATTCAAAAGGCCTTAACGTTTTTATCCTCCATTAGAGCTCAGCACTAGTTGAATCCATTTATATATGCTGGCCATTAGCACATTCCTGGACTAGAGATTAGGAAGGTCAGTGGTGTCCTAAGTGTCTACATTTTAATATTTGTTGTGTACTGCAGTAATTATTTATATGGTATGCACTTAGTATTTCTCTTCCCCACCCCTCTCCATATTTTGATCACCACGTTATAGTGAGTAATGGTGAAATCCTGTACAGGGCAGTATGTATATAACAGCAGCCTTGGGCTAAGCAAAGCACAGGGAGCTGAGACAAGCAGGAGAGAGGAGGAGTGCCCTGCCTGCAACATGCATCCACATCTGCATTGAAGCAAGAAGCAACTCGCTCATGCACAGCTGAGCATGGCATGAGAACCAAGACCGATGGTTTATTTAGAGGCTGAACAACCCAGCAGTCACCCAACAGCAAATCACAGCTAAACCAGGGTGGATTTAAAAAATGGATTTTAAATTGGATTTTTAAAAATTTAAATCGGTTTTTAATTTAAATTGGATTTTTTAAAAAATAATTGTTTGAGGGAAAATCTATCAAAAGATAGTTGTCTACTTAAGATACACTGTAGTCCAAAGGATATTCATAAGGAAGGATTTTTTTTTAATTATGTAAAACCTTACAGAGGTTTCTGTAAGATTATTGGACAATTTTTCTATCTAGAAGATATTTATGTTCTCAAAACTGTTAATTTATGTCTGCAGATTACATGCCTCTTCTTCACAGCAAAAATGTTATAAAATAAACAGACAGAATTGAGAAAAAGACCTTAATCCCACTGTTCCTTTGTAAATTTATGTATACAGAATCAACCCCTTACTGCTTAAGTGCTAATTTTCAGAAATTGCAATGAATTAGAAGAAGATTGTTGAAAGTGGAGTAGATCTGCACAAGAAGTTAAATGTGAGAAAAAGGGGAAAACAGTAAAAATAAAGTGAAACCTTTTGAGTAGAATACTTCACAAGTGTTTGGATCTTTTCGTGTATAGCCTGAAGTTTATATTATTCTTTCCCTGGAGGAGAAAACCTATAATGGCAGCAGGCCGTAAAAATTTGATTTAAATTAAATCCACCCTGGGCTTAACCCCCTACAAACAAGCTGATCATAGACACAGTAAAAACAAAGGGGCTGGCATGTGGGAGGCAGTGCTCTTGCTCCCTGCTGTTCATGCATAACCATCCATGGGTTGTTTAAATTATGGCTTGCTATTACAGGCAAATCAGCTCATTATGTCTAGTCGGAAATAAGCTACAATTAAATTAGGCTTTCTCCCAGGGAAGTGTATAGGATTGCAGCCTAAATAGGGGTAGCTTTTCTTAATATAGTATCTTACACACAAGCTACTTACACATGTCAGACAGGCCCCAGGATAGTACATATATGATACTGTCTATAGCGCTATTCAACTTGTGGTGGCAAGGAAATATTGTAGGCAACAAACTGAATTTGGTCCCTAACTTGTCGCACAGTAGCTTTCCCAAAGAACACAGAAGCAGTTAAAAAGAAGATAACAACTCCTTAAAAAACAGATTAATAAGTTCCTACCTTGCTCTTTATCATCAACCCTGATGTTCAGGTTCACATAAGCACATGCTGGCTCAATGCGATGATGTAAAGCACCTTTGACTAGTGTAATTTCCAATTCTGATCCCTTCAGCTAAAGAAACAACAGTTACATGTTTTTAATAGCATGCAAACCTTTCCCCCTACAAAACCAATACAACTTGAATACACCGCCAGGAATTTTAGTAATTACGCTATTGTTGTTAGTTGTGAAGTCGTGTCCGACCCATCGCGATCCCATGGACAACATTCCTCCAGGCCTTCTTGACCTCCACCATCCCCCAGAGTCCACTTAAGCTCATGCCAACTGCTTCAGTGACTCCATCTAGCCACCTCATCCTCTGCCATCCCCTTCTTTTGCCATCTATTGTTCCCAGAATTAGGCTCTTCTCCAGGGAGTCCTTCCTTCTCATTAGGTGGCCAAAGTATTTGAGTTTCATCTTCAGTGTCTGGCCTTCTAAAGAGCAGTCAGGGTTTATTTCCCCTAGGACTGACTGGTTTGATCGCCTTGCAGTCCAAGGGATTCACAGGAGTCTTCTCCAGCACCACAATTCAAAGGCCTCAATTCTTCAGTGCTCAGCCTTCCTTATGGTCCAACTTTCACAGCCATACATTGCAACTGGGAAAACCATAGCCTTGACTATATGCACTTTTGTTGGAAGAGTGATGTCCCTACTTTTTAGTATGTTGTCTAGATTTGCCATAGCTTTCCTCCCAAAGAGCAAGCGTCTTTTTAATTTCTTGGCTAATTTCTTGGCCATCTGCAGTGATCTTGGAGCCCAGGAAAATAAAATCTGTCACTACCTCCATTTCTTTCCCATCTATTTGTCAGGAAGTGATAGGACTGGATGCCATATAGTTGCAAATTAATACCATTTCATATCTGTATGATAGTCTTTCCCAAACTAGTGCACTTCAGATTTCTTAACTACAACTCCCATCAAACCTAGTCAGCACAGTCAATGGTCAGGGATAATGAATGTTGCAATTAAAAATATCCAGAAGGCACCAGGCTGGTATACAGTATATTAGCAGAGACTGTTCTGAGTACAATGTATGCTAACTTCCAAGAGTGCCGAAAATGAAAAAGGCATAATGGAGTCACAGCTTGCATGCACAGATAATATGATAGCCATCCTGGCTGCCAAGGTACAACTGTTACTTACCACTGAACACCAAGAAGCAAGGCTGAAGTAAAATTTCTGAACATTAACATGGTATATACACCCCCACAACCCAGCCTCATGGTCATAATTTGTACACTTGTTTTTGGTTGTATACGTCATTAAATAAATTATAATTAAATCTATAGGAACATGGAAGTTTAAAAGTATGAGGAAATAAATATACTAGGACATAATTTGCCGAGCATTAGCATCTATTCTTTAAAATGCAGCCCCTTCCCAAAAAAACAAAAATAAAATATCTCACAGAGATGGATTTATCATTTGATAGAAAATGAACCATGACAAAGATCGTAGCTTAAATGACAGGAAGGAAATGCCTACCCCAAAGAGTGGGACAGGAAACCCCTGAGCAGTATGAGATGGTGGCCCCTACAGAAGGAGGGAGTAGCCTCAAATGCAGCAGATAAATGGAACTTTGTGGTTCAAGAAGTCTCTATACCTTTGAAGTTTACAGCAAATCAAATACCGATGTAAATCAAAGCAAACCTTTGGAATGATCTTACATTTTGTTTTACTATATTGCTTTATTTTCTAAAAGGTATTGTTCAAGGTTTTTATTCTTGTCTTTGGTTCAAGACGAGAATATTGTCTTGCTTAAGTTTTAACTAACAGATGGACTTTTGACTATCTTGATAAAAATGCATTATCAAAATTTGTCTATACTATTTAGATCAGCCAGCTGTACCTACATTAAATTCTAAATTAATGTAGAATTTGCTTTTTGGCTGTTCTAGAATCCCAAGCATTTTTACTCAGTATCTATCATTAATCTTCTGACCTCATCAAATTACATGTAATTTTGTATTCATCATCACACAAAATAGGTATGTTACTGATATCTTTCAAATTTCCCCATTTAAATGTTTATTCCTGAATAGTTACATGAACATATTATGCTATTTTTGTATATTTTGGAGTCTTTCACTGATATCAAACTGTGATCATCTGCTAGGAGCTTTGCTTGACTTTCAGTCACCAAGGTCATATCAAGTAAAACCTATATGTATTTTCTGCTACCTTGTTTACCTAAAAGGAAATGGGAAATTTCAATGTCTGCATAAGGAAACTGCAAAGAAGTACAAATTCATTGTATCTGCCTTCTCTATAGAGTAGGTAGAGCAAACACTCATAAAATAAATAGCATTTTTAAGAAGGCGATATGAGGAACTCAGGCAAGTATGGTGACATAAGATCAAGATACAGATCTTATTGATAAACTAAAAATGAATAAATTGCCAAATCCAAAGTTTTTAATGCATTAAAATGTGAAACACTAATCTTTTAATTAAAAAATATATAACATGTCTCTAAGATCAACCTCTCACCGAAAGACAGTTAAGTTATTAAGATAACACCAGATTTTTATAAAAAGAGTGGGGTGAGGTCAAGAAATTATAAGCTCATTAGCTCAATGTCTATTCTGGATAAATAGATACAATTATTAACTGCACAAGTTTTGGCAAACAGGTTTTCCTAAATAGGTATCAACAGGGATTCTGAAAGATTATGGTGTCTTTTACAGTTTTTTAAGCGTGTCAGCAAAGATCTAGTAGACACATAATATGACAGCCTATTGAGGGCTGTTACCAATGATGGGCTGTCGGGTCATGTGAACCTAGGTCAGTTCCCACAGGGATTTCTGTCTCACCACAGTTCTTTTGCTAACTTGCTTTTAAAGTTTAGCTTACTTTAACTGCAATCTCTGGAGTAAAAATATTGTTAAAGCTGCAGTTCCAGTGCAGGTCCCTGGGAGGACTGAGCAGTGGAAGGAGGCAGCAAACAACACACAGTGAACCTGATCATTTGTCAGAAGTACTTGTGGGCTGTTTTGGGAAACAAGGGAACTATTGTGGCTCACTGCCACAGTGGGTAGTTGTGAGGTGCAAATGTGTCCTCTTGGTACTTGAATTTGCAAAATCAGAGCTTCTTAATTTGTTCATAAATGTCCTCAAATTACAGGTGAGCATTGAGAATGCAAAGCTTGCAAATGAAGTAAAAATACCAAAGTGATTATGAAGAAATCCAAAAGGATCTCTTCAAACTGCAGGAATGAGTAATACAGTGGCAAATACTGATTTACTCAGTAAATCAGTTTACTGATTTAATTTATTTGATCTGTACTTTGCCTTTCTACCAAGAAAAATAGCACTCAAATTCAGCGTAAGCAAGTATAAATATAATGCATGCTACCGCAAACGTTTCCAACTTCATGTGCATACCAGGTATCTGAGCTGGTGGTTAATAACCAAGGAAAAGACCCCTTGGATTTACTGATAAATCAGTGATAATGGCAACATGGTATGCAGCAGCAGCTGAAAAAGTAAATTCAACTCTAGAGATCATCTGCAATAATACAATAAAACTGTCATTATAATGCTATGTTAGAAACATATGGTGAGAACACACCTGACAAATTTTTGCAAAATTTGCAAAAATCCTTAGCTTTTAAACCTGAAGTTTTCTTATTAGGCATTATACTTGTTGATATTAGTAAACAAGAAATGTACTTGATTTTACATGTAATTACTGTGGTGAGGATTGCATTTGCTCAACACTGGAAAAGTGAAGAACCACCCACCGATGAACTGATCCTAAAAAAGATCTTGGACTGTGTAGAAATGGATAGACTGACTTTGTCATTGAAGGAGAAAGAAGATACTGATTTCGATCAAACTTGGGACTCTTTATTATTGGCTAGAGAAACAGGACTTTGCATAGATTTAAATATGTTTTTAAGTTATCATGAATAGAAAAAAATGTGGGAGCTGACCCAGCAGGTCCGATGTTTCTGATGACTGATGTTGTTTTTAGTTTTCCTTTGTTTTAGGGTTATTTTGAATAAAACTCATTATAAAAAAAGAAGCTTCCCATAAGCAATCTTGGTTGGCCACTATGAGAAACCAATAATTATTAAAATAATAAGCACTTAGTTTAATCCAACAGAACTCTTACGTGCAGAGTAGAGGGCAAGGAAGGGACCATGAAATGACCTTCCAACAGTACAAAGCTATATTAGGAAAATAGTATTCAATCACCATAGCTCCCTAGATGTTGTACCATTTGAATCACTGCAGGTTTCAAGCCAGCTATACCCCTAGGCCGGGAGGGCGAACTTATGGCATGTGTGCTGCAGCGGGCATGCAGAGCCCCCCTTCGGCACACGAACCAAGTCACCCCAGCATTGCCCCAGCAGCTGCGCATCGAATAACAGAGCACATAGGGGCCATGCGCATGCTCAGAAAGGACTAGCGGCGCAGGGTGATAACATCACAAGCCACGACTCATTAGCTGCCACTTGTCCGAGCTTTCGCATGGCCAGTCAGTGCGCTGCCAATGATATATATATATATATATATATATATATATATATATATTTGCTTGGACTGGAAGTATGTTGTTTTTTTCCAACCTAAAACCTCAGTTTTCAGGTTTTATTGCAGTTTTGGCACTTTGCGATAAATAAGTGGCTTTGGGTTGGATTTTGGGCACTCGATTTCTAAAAGGTTCACGATCACTGGGTTAGGGTTAGAAAAACGAGGTGCCTTGGTATTATTTTGATGTTTGGAATGTGTTTAGAAGGGACAGAAATGATGAGCTGTGCAGAAAAAGCTACTCAAGGAGGGTTTTTCGAAATCGCCCTCTCTTCAATGGAACTTTAGCCCTATATTCGGGTGAGGGGTGTGCACCAGGGTAGGGTTAGGGCAGTCATGGTGAACCTATGGTTCACATGCCACAGCGGGCATGTAGAGCTCTCCTTGTCGGCACGTTAGTCCCCCAGCATCACCCCAGCAGCCGAGCATCAGGTAACAGTGCACACAGGGGCCATCTGCATGCTCTTAAAGGAGTAGCGGTGCCAGGCAATGATGTCACAAGCCGCCACTCATCCGAGCTTTCTCATGGCCGGTCAGTGTGCTGCCAAGGATATATATATATTTTCTTGGACTGGCTGTGCGTTTTTTTTACTAAACTAAAACCTCAGTTTTCAGGTTTTATTGTAGTGTTGGCCCTTTGCGATCAATAAGTGGGTTTTGGATTGCAGTTTGGGCACTTGGTCTCTAAAAGGTTTGCCATCACTGCCCTAGGCTATCTACCATTTTCAGAACTGTAGTCCACAAGAAGCAAATAAGGACAATAGCATCCTCTTTTCTAAGTGTCAAGGTTGCTGTTGACAAAAAACATGTCTATTCATATGAAACCTGGCAGGTCAAATCTAGTCAAAAAGGATTGTTACTCCCTGCAAAATTCATCTGATTCTCCCAATAAAGATAAGTGATTGACAGTTCCCTCTAAAATAAAATAAAATCAGGATATAAAGGCACATAGCATAAAAGTCCCTTCACCTATTCTTCTAACATTTAGTAGGCTTAATCCTATCCTGAACAGGTGCTATGCCTGCAATTTTCACCAAATTCCTACAAAGGAAAAATATAGTTATTTGAGTTCCACTGGAAGTCCATAGGAAGCACAAAGCTTCAGGTTTCCAAATCTGAAATAGACTTGGGCATTTTTCCAAAGCACCAAATTTGGAGTTGGTACACACCTCTTCTACTTCTTCATTACTATTACTGCTGGTTGTCCCTTTGCATGAGTGCAATTTAAATAGCAAATAAACCACAATCATTTTTTGGTAATTTCCCTTTAAATAGCTTTAACAACGTATTATTAAGACCTCTGGAAGTCAGGAAACACCTTTCACATGAGAAACTGCTGCTGCTGAAATGAGTGTTCAAAATGGTTTGGGTGGAGGTATCAGTACAGCCCCTGAAAATCATAAGTCTACAGCTAATATGGGCAATCAAGTACTCCCTTGAACACCACAAACACCTATAAAAATCAAGCCTTTTCATATGAAGAAGTCATGAAATCAACATAAACAGCCAAAAGTAGGACCTACCTTCACAAGATTAAATTTGAAATCTTTAAAAAATGGCAAGTTGAAATTTAGAAAAGCATGTTAATCATGACTGAAAAGAAGATTATTGCTGGGTATGTAAAAACATGTGAACTAATTTTGAAAGTAGCTTTGGATGATTCATTGACTTCTTGAACTTAAAACTTGTTATACAATATGAACATCTGAAATGGATATAGCAAGTCTGGTCCAATAAACATTTAATGTAAGCAATGCATTATTCAGATAATGGGCTGGGTGAATATTCTCCAAAGGATTTGTATTCATTCTTACCTGGGTTTTTTCTTGAATAAGCACTTCTTTTGAGGTAGGCACTGGGTATGGCTTCAAGGCAGCCTTTATTGTTGCACAAATGAAGTCTGTGTGCTCCATAATAACAGTTTCAAGGTAATCACCTTCTGGATGTGCCTGGTAATATACTGTAATCTCATCGGTAGGAACAAGATTGCGCTGCAATTAAATCAGCAACACCAGTGCGTCAGGCATTTTTGCAACAAAAAGTAAAACCTATTTTGGTTATTAACAAAGTAACATGTAAAAAATAGCCCAACATGATTATAAAGTAAAATTTATGGAAACAAAAAAGGATCTAACTGTACATATTACCATAATTTTTATTTGCAACCATGAAATGACCTAAAAAAACAAGTTTAAAACTGCACAATGATGTGTTTTAAACTGTGCAAATTACCTTTATAGAAGAAAAACCTTTCATTTAACTAAAGGTATTAACAATTATTTTCAGATAAAAGATACTAACAAAATTAATACATGTTCTGTTCTGGCTGAATTGACAGTTATTTTTATCGGGTACTGAGGATTATTTATAGATACTGTTATCCTAACAGAATGAGAAAAGTCACCTTCACACACAATTACCTATGTCATGCTCAATTTTTATCTTCTTTCCTATTCTCCTTTTATAGCCATCTGTTCCCTATCTGTATCCCATGCACTCCTGCCTATCCCCAAAACATACTTTTCCTTCAATATTTTCCTATTACATTAAAAGTATTGATGTCTTCTGTCTTGTTGTTATAACAAGCCATGTTGTTATTATGATCTGCCTAAAGATTTTGTTTGTTGCAATATTTTAGCTGATTTGGCAACAATGTGTATGAGTTTAAAAGGAAAGAAAAACAATTGATTTTGTAAGAGTAGGACAAGAAAAAGCCTTCTAAGGCAAGCTCTAGGCTCCTGTGGTTTAAGAAGCATAACACTCTTCTTACTTCCAGTTCACGGTTGGTCTTTCCAATTAATCTGAGGACAACTACACCGGCAATAAGCAACTTTTACCTGTGCAGCTAAAGGGCTGAACCATAGAATGTATTGCCTTCTTTTTAAATAATTCCTTCTAAACTTTATCATGCAGCATTTACTTTGCATTTCCCTTTCTCACTCAAGTAGAAATACGTCCATCCGGTGTGAAGCACAGATATGCATTTAACTCACCAACAAACATGAAGAGCCCCTGCAAAGAAACCCAGCTAAGACATTGATGGTTGATGGCACCTAACTTATGTTTTGACATGCAATCTTAGAGGTTTTTAATAGTAGAATTGTAAAGCAAAGCACAAACTGGCCTCAAGACTCTTAAAAGCCTATAGTTGACTACCAATCAAACATGTTCTTTAGATGTTACATGTCAAAATACAGTATTTTCATTTATAAAGTTCCTTAGATGATAGGGGATGTAAAATTATGAACAGCACAATTCTATTTATTTCTTTATAGAAATGTTATTGAATTTAATAGGGCTTCCTTGAAGGTAAGTGGGTATAGGATTACAGTCTTAAGAACAAATGTTCCCTGCAGGCTTACAAGCTACAGTAAGAGCCACGATCCAAGGAAGTATGCCAAGATTTGAGGTTTTGTATCTTAAACAGCAGCTTATGCTGCATGACAAAGCACTTTTGAACCTGAATATATTTTCAAAAGATGTTTTGGTGACTGGAGTTCAATGTTCAAGGGGTGGGGAAGGGTAGCCAAAAATGTCCTTTGATGCCCTTTGAAACACAGATGTAACTTCCACATGCAAAACTGTTTATACTGAAATTGGTTTGGTATTTCTGCAAGCAATCTATCCATGGACATTTGAGGATGGATAGATAGACTGATGATAGATAAAAAGTCGATTCTGTTTGACTATCCTGCAACAGACAGATTAGGTTTGCCCTCGTATGATATTCCGCTGGTTTTTGCGATTTATGCAGTAAACCCCCAGAGAGCTTTGGCTACTGGGCTATATTGAAATAAAATGCTGCTGCTGCTGCTGAACTTGTTGATTGATTTGTCCTTCACAGAATCATAGAAGAGTTGCAAGGGGTCAAGAAGGCCATTGGGTCCCACACCCTTCTGTTGCAGGACACCAATTTACACCATTCCACTCAGATGGCTATCCAGTTTCTTTCTGAATGTCTCTAGTGTGGGAGAGCCCATGGCAGCTGGTTCCACTGTCATATTGCTCTGACAGCGAGGAAACTTTTTCTGATATCTAGCCTGAATCTGGGTTGTTGCAACTTGAGTTGATTATTCAGTATCCTGCACTCTGCTATCGGAGAGATCTTGACCTTCCTCTATGTAACAGCTTTTAAGGTACTTAAAGGTGGATTATAAAGTTCAGATGTGTGAGCAGGCTAACTATCTTGCATTTATTTTAACCAGTGAGACTTGAGCTACATTTTATAACCCAATACTATTACTATGCTAACATCAATGAAAACAAGAGGACCACAGCGGTGATACAAGGGAGATGTTGGAGGGTAACTTGCTGTAATTACTAACCTTCTTTCTCAGTTTTTGGATGCGGTTTATTACTTCTCGTGCAACACCTTCATCCACCATGGACTGATCAGGAGTAACATCCAGAAGAACCAAAACCTGGCAATAAAATATGGAGATGCCATCCACAAAATAATAAATCAGAAGCGACATTCAGATGCAACAAGGGATTTTTTTTACCAGACATAAATTATTGATAATCTGCCCTGCAATGTTCTTATAAACTTTTGTGACAGACTCACAAACACACGGTGATGTCTAACACCAAAAACATTTATTCCAATCCATTTGATCCTGTTACAATAAGGCTGCATCCACCCTTTCAACAGTGGGGAAGATACAGGACGAGGCCTATAGATGTCTGCTTCATCTGCTTCCCTTTTCACCCTATGTGAATAGATAATCCAGACAGGGAGGAGCTAAACCAAGTCCTGGTCCTTTAGGGTTTTTCCTAGCATGGCTACTTGAAAACCCAATATTCACCACACCAGTCCAAAATTCAGACTAAGCAAGGTCATTGCCTTTTGACATCTCAGGCAAACACTCCAAAAGGAGCTCTGCACTGCAGATTAAGAGCTGATAATCCATATGAACTGGTACTTAACAAAGTACAGATTCCTCACAAGAGATTACTACACTGAATACCTGAGAATCAGAATGTGCTTCAAACTGAGCAGATCCTCCAGCTGTCTGGTCAAAGGTGTACATCAGACGGAGATCTTCTTCATGTAGTTCGTGTCCTTCTACATCAATGGTGCCTGATATATTGAAATAAGACAATTATCCATTTTATATTAAAATAGGATGTGCCAAGACCTAAACAATCTGTAACTGCTCAGCTTTCAGATATATTGCTTTTCTTTCTCTTTCACTCAAAAAGTAATATATCTCTCTAATCATCTTGTGTTATCCTACCTTCCCTCCAATTGCATTTCTCACCTTTTCTCATTCATGTAGTTTATTTTATATAGCATTAGACAAACCACCTATCGTCTGTCAGTTTGGAATTCTGGAAAAAATATATTAACTTTTATACTCCTATATTTGGGTGTTTTTCCTTTTGCTCATATCACTTTGCATTTGTACATGAGAAATTTCATTTTGTTACCAAACCTTTATAATTTAAAATGCATCTGAGATGCATGTTAGCATGTTCATTTCACCTATTTTATATTCAAGAATAACCTTAAAAACTTCTGACTTATCCAATACAAGTCCATTCAGAGGACAGTAATTTATTAGACAGTAACTTGGTCTGTACTATCAAACAAGCTACCATGGCTTATTTAAGGCATGGTGGCTTGTCTGATTGTGCAAATTGTCCCAGTAGGTCAACAGGATGTTTGTAAATACTTATCAATGCATTATCACAGTCACACACAAGTCCTTCCAAATCTCACCCCTGCGTATGTAGTACTATGATTTCTATTGCCTCCAAACAACATCCCCAATTCACATGAAGTCATGGGGGTTTAAAAGTCTGCTCCTGATTATAGATATCAATGTAGCATTCAAGAAGTCTTTAAGCTGGAGAAGCAACCCATTTAAGGCTGTCTTTTAAGACCAGATGAAATAGCAACAATTAAAGCATATATTTCTAGCCATTATAGTTCTACCAAACAACCTGTAAGTTTGCAGGTAATTCCTGGAACACATTCCTAGAAAGAATTTGGCTAGATCACAGGTCAAGATTGATAGCTTCTTGTACCACACTCCTCAAGATCTATGCTTTTGACCTAAAGTATCCCTGTGCATGTTTAAGTGATAGTGCTGAATCTTATAGTGCAGGGCTGCAAAAGAAAACGCAAAGCCATAATAAATCCACCTCAAGGCCATCACTGGCAACAGCTCCAGGTCCTCAATGCCCCCTCCCTCAGCAGCCTATCTTCTCACTGCCACTGCTTGCTGTTGTTCCTCATCTCTGCTGGCACTGGCTTGCTTGACGGACAGATGACTAGTGAGCAAGCAGGTAGGACACCTCCAAGCAAAATATGGGCACACGACCACCTTTCTCCTATGCTCCTCAGCAATTGCTGCACGGAGGCATCCTCTGATACTACAGGAAGCACACTGCCCTAAGGTCAGTGGGAAAAGTGATACAGTAGCAATTGACAGCATTATCAATGAATATGTGTGATCCACTTTTAAACCTGCCCAAGTTTATGACCAACACTGCACCTTGTGAAAGTGAATTCCACAGTTTAATAATGTGCTGTGTGATGTAGTACTTCCTTTTATCTGTCTTGAATCTCTCATCACTTAGCTTTATACATTGATCCCAGGTTTTAGTATTATGAAAGAGGGAGAAAAATGTCCCCCTATCCACATTCTCTACAGCTTACTCTGCAATTGCTAATTTTACTCAGAATTCTTTGCTGAAGGACTATGTCAAAATGCTTTTGAAACTTCAATTAAATAGTGCCTATCAGTTTACCCAGTCCACATGGTTTCTGACATTCTCTAAGAGCTCTGCAAAGCTAGTCAGGCAGGTCTTATCTTTGAATAAGGCATTGTTGATTCTTTACTTGTAAGGTTTGTCCTTCTATATATTTACTAATTCTTTCAATCATTTCAGGTGGAACCGTCTACAAACTGCTGGATCTGTTTAAAAGAAACCTACCAATTTTCCGATAATCTGGTACAGAGGCTGACCTTAGGGACATGTTACATATTTTGTTAGAATATGAGTAATTTCATGTAAGGGTTCTTTAAGAACTCTTGGATGGATACCATGTGGCCCTGAGGATTTATCAACTTTCAATTTCTCAATAGGGTTGAGAATGTTAACTTTTATTACTGCAATTTTTCTCTGTTCCTCAGACCACCCCCATCCCCATGTATCTGTCTTTGATCTTCCACAGTGAAAACATATGAAAAATAGTCAGTTTCACAGTATTATTCTTGTCTTTTAATTCCATGGGCATCCATCAGCCCATCTAGCTTGTTCCCTCCTTCTGATAGCATTTAACAAATTCTTTATTGTTGGCCTGGGTTTTGGCAGTGATATGCTCCTCAAATACTTCTTCGCTATTGTTTATCTTCTGCCTGCATCTCGTTTGTGTCCCCCTTTTTTCCTGCCCTTGGGCAAGACTTTCAGCTTCCTTGGCACTGCTCATTAACCATGCTGTCAACCTCTTGGACTTGTAGCTACATTCCTAATCTGTAGTACACATTCTAGCTGAGCTACTATTGCAGTTCTGAGTAAATTCCAAGCATTTTGAAGGAATTTGATTTTCTTCACTTCCCCTTTCAATGTCTTTAATTTTTTTTCTCATTTTTACCATTGTCTCATTTTCTCATTTTGCAGGATTAACACTTTTCTTCTTGTGATAATTCTCTAATTTGCTCACGGAATCTATGAACATTTGACAGTAACTAGATAAACAGCTTTCAGATTCCTCATCATCTGTTATTAGGCTATAACATATACCCAGGTAGCCAAGCAAATTAGCTCGTACACTCAGAAATGAAAGGTCTTTTGCATCAACAGGCTAGGTCAACGCCAATACACCTTTATGACAAAGCATGCATACATACTGTAAGGCTACTCACCTATCTTCTGGAATTCTTCCAACTGCTCACTTGTCAGCTCCTTGATAGCAGCCATAACAGATTTAAAGGCACCTTTCAGACGCTTTCCAAGGACCATGTGATCAGGCTCTGCTCTTAGACGGATTCCGTATTTATCTTTATCTGTTGACAGTGTAACCTGACGGACATTAAGTTCCTGCAAATTTAAAAAAGACAGAGGAGAAAAAAAGAAGTTTGAAATAGGAATAATCACTGCAGTGCAATTAATAATCAGCAACAACTAACCTTTTTTATTTGTTGAATGGCAAAGGATGAGATAGGACAAACACATGCGTTGTCTACTGCAGTGATTTGTTTGCACTCAACAATAGTATGATTAATACAGTTAATACTATTGTGCCATGTAAATACTTTGCTATCTTGAGGACTGAGTCTGAAATTGTGCAAATCCCCCTACTACTCAATATTCAAGTATGATCCAAAGATCTTTACCTTTTCTGGCCCCCGAGTTTCCACCCTCAAAATTCCCTGTTCTGCCTCTAGGGTCATTTCTTTTCCATTCAGCAGTTGTCTTATGCCCTGTTTCCCATGCTATTAGTCTATTTATTTATTTATTTGTTTGTTTGTTTAGGGAACTTCTATGCCGCCCCATTCGCCGAAGCCTCGGGGCGGCTCACAATCATAAATAAATAACATAATATAAAACAATATAATTTAACAGTATAAATTAAGTTGCCCTGGCCAAAGAATAAAATAAATAAATAATATTAACAATTAAAATAACGTTTGAATAAAAAGGTCTTCGCCTGGCACTGAAAAACAAATAACGACGCCAGGCGGACCTCTCTGGGGAGTGCGTTCCATGGAGTCTAGGCCTCCTGTGCTCCCCATGAACTGACCCCACTCACTTTCAGGCAACAATCATCATACCAAGAGCCATCATTAACAGTTAAGATTGCTCTGTAACTAAGAATTCAGTTATGAGCAAGTTATTCACAATTGTATGAACCACTGAACAGGAGCTGAACCATCAAAAGAATTCTATTTTGCAGCTGACATACTTCTGCTATGATGCATTGCTCTTAGGAATCCTGGGAAACCTTTTGTCTGGCCATACAATATTATAAAGAAATTTAAATCTTTTGTGTGCCATTCAGGTATAAGATTCTGATATATGAAGCAGCACAAGGGACCCCTCTGTCTTTCTGAAACTGATACAGTCTCAGTTGGCTCCGTTTCTGGGGAAAATAAAAGATTAGCTCACAATCAACGTTCTAAATAGCTGAACGCTATTTACTGGCACCAATGAATCAAAATGTTTTACTTGGTTTTCTTCTCATCTCATTTATTTCTCAAAGAGGGTAGTCTACATATTACTCTCTTTTATTTATACTTTAATCAACTGTGAAAACACAATTGGCCTTAGAATGAAAAGGCATGTTTACAGGCAACTAAAAGGGTTTTGGAAAATGAATGAGTGGCTGTCTTGAATGCCTATCTACTACACACACACATGCCCTCTTCATATGAATAAACAGGCCCAGAGATAGCTCCCCCCCACCCCGCCCTGTAAAGATTTGTCATTTAGCCTGTCTCACTTCAAGGGAAAACTCAAGGGAAGTCACAACATCCATATGAATGGCAGCTTCCCATTTAACTTCCAGGTGACCAAAATCCCAAATTGCCTTTTGAAATCAAGGCAGCAGAATGAGCAGGTCTGACAGCAATGGAAAATGCAACTCTCCAACTACTGTCAAAAGCATGTTCCTGATTTTAGCATTAACTGATACTTCTTGTTTACACAGGCAACAGCTACAGTCCAGGAGATCCCCCACTTAGTACTGACGCCTTTTCCCCCAATATCCCTTATCAGTCCTTACTCAAAGGTACATCTTGCTCATCACAGTACAAATGTAACTCGGATTATTTTATTTCTCATATTATAAAGTGCTTTTTTTTCAGAGAACAAGATCTTGCTGTTGACATTTACAAAATGAACCTGTTATTTTGAGTCATGTCATATAACAGAAAACATTTTTAAAAGGCTAGTTATGTGTCTGAGCTATATAGTTATATTCTACTTTTCGACAAAGACTTGTTCCCAAAGTAGCTTACAGTTAATTTCATTTGAAATGTTAAAAAAGCCATTCTGAGGAACTGCAGTATATTCTCCCAAGTGTCAGGAATGCACGACTGAGCCACTTAAGAGCTAAATGCTTCTCTTTTTCCATGTGGCATTACATTCTGTCATACTCAAAACCACTTAGAGATGTCTTTTACAATATGGTAAGTGGTGTGTGTGTGTGTGTGTGTGTGTGTGTACAACGAAATAAAATCTAAATTAAATATTCATAAGTGGCCTGACTTTTACTGCAAAAATTTCTCTTTGGAAAGCTCTCATAATGGCTTTTAACTTCATGCTCAGCTTCTAAGCACAACTTGGGTACCCAGAACTTTTCTCCAAATCAGGATTGGTCAATGGCTCTCCTTTCTACATAGCAGAGGTGGCCAGACTGGCTCAACAGAAGAGCCACATACAGCAAATGTCAGATGTCTGAGAGCTGCAAGCAGGTGCCAGCAGGCAGCTGTAGCGGGTAGTGAGTGGCAAGCAGGCATGTGTGGACAGCAGCAGGAAGGATGGCAAGTCAGCACTCGTGCGCACGCGCGAGCACTCGCAACAGTGAGCCACAAAATAAATGCGGTTCCCAAGTCTCTGTTTGGCCATCCCTGACATACAGAGTAACTTACTCACCCAAAACTACTATCCTAATACACTTAGAAAAGCACTAAACTTAGTGCAAGTTGCAGATAAATATGCTTTGGGTTGTGTTACATGTCACCTCCAGCTGCTGGCTGTATCAAAATTGCCTTCTAAATTCAGTTTATCTGGCATTAATTTGGATAATGGTGGGCTGAATATAAATGGATTGGGTTTATGAAGTGCCAGAGGCAGAGCAGACGCTTTCTCCCCCTACAATTCCTCAAACACATAAAAAGAGTTGCAGTGTATCTGCTCCATACTCATCATTACCATAAATTTGCTTATAGGTCTATTTCTAACAATACACAACTGGGAACGACTGAAGAATGGCAACAGTGCAAGGTCCATATGGGTTATTCTCCTGCACAGACTATCAGTGTGTGCTCTTGCTTCTATCTTACCTCAAGTATATACTTTTCCAAGGACCGGATATCTTCCAGTGCCTGAGGATCCTGATGAATAATCACCACCTCTTTCAGTGGATACTGAAAATGAATTCAACAGCATCAGTCTCGAAAAAAATATCAGTCTACTGCATATTTTAATACTGACTATTTAAATTATTTTCTTGTAATCCATTTTATGGAACTTGCTGATTTACTTATGCTTTTCTCTGGCAGAGACAATAAATGCTTACAGGATATTGATGTAAAAGAACGTAAAACAACATCTTACCTTTACTGGAATGGTTTTCCTATCTCTGATTACCCGTCCAAGTTCAATAACAGACTGCATCCGGGAAACAGCACTTTCTATGCTTTTGTCAATCAGATCCTCCCTAGATTCAGAAGGAAAACAAATACTGCAACTGCCTGCTAATATCAAAGAGAATTCCTTCAGAATCACATCCTACTTTTCAAGGATCATTGAAGGGAGAAGAAAAAAACTCACTGGACCTCCCTGAAGCTCCCAAAACAGCACTTTTGAACATATTCAAGATTAACTGTGGTGAACGTGAGAGCTGGTGTGGCACAGTGGATAGAGTGATAAGACCTGAACAATAAAGGCCTTGGTTCTAAGCTTCCTGTTCAGTCATGAAGCGCAGTAGGTTGCTCAGACTAAGTCATTCACTTGCAGCCTATTCTCCCAGGCATTTAACATGCAACATTTGAATGCTGTTCTTTTAATTTTATTACCAGTTAATTACCAATTTGTGTTAAGCTTCTTGTATTGTTTTTTAAAGATTTTATTTTATTTACGTTTTTATAGACAGTCACAATAGCCACGTAGCTCTCTGGATGGTTTACACAGTTAAAAACTACCAAGGAAACATAAAAAGCAATATATTAACAATCAACTAAAAACATTCACTCCAACAGCAGGAGCACCAATTGTGTTGATATCATATGCTAGCAGACTTTTCCTGTATATTTTAAGATATTCTGTTGTCAACTGTCTTTGATATTGTTTTAGTGATAGCGAAAGCAAATTTTTAAAGAAAGCAAAGATGTATAAATAAAATGTGATCTCAGGTATTCCAATATGAACTGCATAAAGTGTCCTTAGCAATAGTTATTCAGTTATCTAAAAAACCAATTTCATAAAAGTAAAGATTCATTTAGTATGGCAGTTAAAAAACTCACAAGAAAATCAAATCACACTCAGCTGCATCCTACCGTACAAGTTAACTCTAAAGCTAAGAAAATGTAATTGGTCCCTGGCAACTGCAGACAAATTGGTCTAAATGTAGTCTCCCCTTCTCAAATAACTGAGGGAAAAAGAGGGAGAAAACACACTGGGAACATGCAGTGATTTCTCCTGCTGCATCACAAAACAACCCACCCTACATAGTTTATTCACACGGCAGATTAGCATTTTGCGCAAACCCACCTTGAGAAAGTACAGGCAGGAAGTGGAGGCAAAAGAAGAGGAGGTTATCAGTGGCTACTGGCCTTGCAGGCTATGTGCTTCCTCCTTTACCAGAGGTGGCATGCCTGCATACAGCACTTGCTGAGGAACTTGGCCTGACAAGAGGTCCTGTACTCATCCTCCTTGAGGATCCTGTGGGCAGCTGGTTTGCCAACGTGTGTACCAAGTGTTAGACTAGATGGACCATTGGTCTGATCCAGCATGGCTTTTCTCGTGTTCTTATGTTCTTCAACTGAAGAAAACCTAATTCCAAAGCCTATCAGTTTTCACTGGTCAGGACAGGGGTTGTGACGAGCAGCTTGTTCCTTTTTCCTGTCATGGGTGGATATTTTCTAATTTTCTCCCAAATGATTAAAAAGAGAAAGGAAGGGTTTTCAGATAGTTTAAGGGTATGTCAACGGAACAGAAGGGTTTTGGGTCCTGCAATTCGAAGACTTTTCTCAGTCTATCCTTGGTGTACTCCTTTCAGTTCCTATCACCACTGGAACACTAAGGTCAGAGACTTTCCCTACAATGAGGTGGCATCTGGCAAAGAACCTCTTAAACGGCAGATGGGGTCGGGGGAAAGGATTCACAACTTCCTATAGCCCTGTGGATGTCCTCTCAAGGGCAACAGGACCACATCCTTAATTATTTGATGGTAAACTGAAAATTATAAACATTAAGATAGAAATATGACCAAATAGGAGACGCGATTGAATGTACTGAACTTGGAGGAACTAATAAAGTTGTCATGAACAGGACATTTGGGAGGGCTTTCAAATCATAGTGTCACCATATATTGGAGACGACTGGACAGCACCTAACAGCAACAGAAATGAATTAAATATAAAGTCATTTTCTAGGTATACACATCAAACGAGTACTAAATAGTACATTTGTTAAAACAAACAAAAAAAGAGATATCAAAAAACCCATCACATTTTCCTTTTTTTTTAAAAAAAGGAAACAAATCCAAACTGCACACAAGGAAAGTTAAGTAAAATTTAACTTTGGCCTAGTGACCATGAGGTGCATAGACTCATTTCTTTCTAGGTGAGCATTATATAGTATGGAGATGTGGAGAAGGGGAGTATCAACTTCTGTTAAATGACACAGTAATTGCTACAAAACTCTTGGGAGGGGAAAACCCTGCTTCATTATAGACTAGCTATTAAAAAACAAATAAAGTCAATGACAAAGCAAGTCAATTTACTGTATTTTTAAAGTAATTTACTTTTACAAATCATAATCATCTTTGGTGGTATTAATTGGAGAGAACAAGACTGCGCCTGGGACTCAAGAAATTAAGTTACAATGCTATAAATAATTGAAGATCTTTTAACATGCCTTACATAATACCAGTTCAAGGACATCCATAATGATAATGTACATTGTGTGTTACAGAAAAAAATCATATATCTATACCGCAGATGTTCACAGCATAGAAAAAATCTGATTTAATTTCTTTTAAATAAATGGTTTGGATTATTAGAAGAAAATGCCTTTCACTATCTGGATTAATGACTCAAAAGCATAAAGCACACAAATGAAAACAAACCCCTGCCACTGGCAAAAAAAAAAAAAAAGGTTATTATCAGAAGTATTCAAAACAAAATAAGTCCTTTTGGTCAACAGCATTAACGGAAAAAAGTGTCACACTCTAAATGTTTGTCCAGACAACTGCAATATGGTTAGAATATTAAGAAACCAACAGAAAAACAAATTTTTCTCCTTTCCTTCATCAAGACCAAAGGAGAATATAATTACCTGTATGAGAATTAATAACCAGGGCACAATTTGGCAGCAGCTGTTTTCTTATTTACCCACTTCCCCCTTATAGAACATAATGTCTCACACTCCTTCCCAAAAAGTTTCAGTGAGCTTTGTTTACCATGGCTGTGAGTCCCAAGAGAACAAGAGCAACACAGCAAATCCATTAGATCAAATTCTGCACCTGGATCATATAGAATGGAGCAGCCAAGGGCTTAGGAAATGCTAAATTCATCCTCTTGCAGTCAATCCTGTTCCATCCCAATTGCTATAGGCAAGTCAGCAACTGGTGGACAAAGCTGGGACAGAATTTTACCCATATCCATGACTTTCCTCGTGCAACCCAAAACAACATTCTTGGTGCATGATATCGGTCCACAACATAGGTGGGAGGGAGTGCTACTATCAACCCCTTAACTTTTTCCCCAGTGCAAGGTGTGGATGACTGCCTCAGTCTTCAGTCATACTATCAAAAATCTTGCCTTTTGCCACACAAAGCTCTGTGTGAAGCCTAAGGCAAGAAAAAGCTGTGGCCAGTTTTAATCCAATTACATTCTCACTGTCATTACTGCTTTCCTGTCCCACCCCAATGCATGCTGCACACAGAACATATTTTTTACCACTTACACAGATTAAAAGTAGAAACGCATCACATCCAAAGCTCTGCCATCTCCCCAGCATCTCATGTAGGAATGTTATCTCCCTTGTCTAAGCTAGGTTCCAAGCTCCTCCAAGCTTCCATGATTCACCAGTGACAAATATATCAAGAATCTCAAAATACATTTCAAAGTGCAAAAGAGCCCTGATTTAAGCCCTTAAATAGTATGGCCACCTTTTGCAATTAAGGAAGTTCCTCACCTAACTTGAGGAAGCATGAGGTAGTGAATGCTATCAGTGTTCTTCTCCTGTACACAGGCTGGATCAATAAGAGTCTTCAAATTCTGATACATCAGTTCGGTGATAAATGGAGTATAAGGTGCCTAAAATCACAATTCTTCATTACTTCATAATTTTGATACATGTTCTATATTTGCTATCAACTACACATTTTACTAAAATAGCTGTTAAGCCCATATATTTCTTGTTACTGGAAAAACATTGTCTAGAAAATGTGTTTTGTACAATAATGTAATACTGATATTTGACATTTAAAATGTGTGATTGAATCCCAGCACTAGAATTCAATCAGGAAGTTGTTTCCAGTTGAACAACTTCCTCTGGGAAATTGAAATACACAAATTACACGGTTTAATACCACCTGATGTCTGTACACTTGCAAGGGACAATAATAGGTCTTTTATGTGATCTATTTATACACAAGCATTTAAAATACAGAGAGGCCCCCAGCAGAGTCAGAGAAGCAAGAGTTAACCAGTGTTTACTTTTCCTTGTAGAGACCATAAATGAAAGGAAACTAATAGCATTCAAGTCCAGAATCTTAGTGGGAACTGCCCAAGGTCATATTCTCCTAAACTGGAAAACAGAGGCCTTCCAAGAGGTGCTTTAGAACTGACAGATGAAGGATTCATAAATATGCCTCTTACTGCATTTGGAAGGAAGCACCCTTATGCAAATTGATTTTACTATATCTGGTCTGTGCACAGGAAAATAGGAATATCTGCTGACTCCCTGAATTGCATTCATCACTAATGCTATTTCTATTTGTTTTCTCCCTCCCCTTCCAGATCTTCTAGGAGCTCCAAGAAACCATACTTTCCCATCACAGGCAACATGACAGCTGGGGACACAACTAAATGAGTGTGGACAGTCAGCTGTGCAGGAGTAGTGCGAACAAGATACACACATACATTTTCTTTAACCACTGGGGATGCATTAGACCACACTGCAGGTGCATTTGTCAACTTCAGATTCCCAAATCTCAGAGGGGGAATCTTCCTTATGTTGAAAACCAGCAAAGGCAGAATTTTACTGAATTCAGAATCAGGTGTTGTGCTTAAAAAAAAAAAAAAAGCGGAGATTCACACAAACATGGGTTCTATCCTTACTACTTTCTCTGCTCCAGTAGAGTCACAGCATACACTGTGCCTTGGCAGCAGCTTCCCTGAATGTCAAGCTGAGCATCATTAGTTCCATAGGACTATTTCAAACCTCCTGTACCAATATTTATGCAAAAATGAATGCGGCGAGTGAGGGCTGCAGTACATGCTTACCATAAGTCTGCACATGGAGTAGACAACACTGAACAAGGTTTCTAAGGCCATAATGCAGTCATCTGTTCCATTTTCACCCTACTCATGTAGTATTCATAAACATAAGAGAGATTAGAACACCTTCCACTTTTTCATTTTCAGTTCTAAGTTTTTACACTCACATACAAAAACCAAGATTATACTGAGCTTTAAAGGAAATATGAATGAACTGAGAAGGAAATTATTTCCAGCTGTCATTATTTCCAGCATCCATGCTAAAAGCAAAAGTAACCTACCTTTAATCGCTTGCGATTCATTCTGACATACCAGTTGGTAAGAATGTCTACAAACTTAACTAGTCGAGGAACTACTGTGTATAATCTGTAGGCTGAAAATGAAGAAGAAACAGTATATTCTAATATGCCCTTAATTATAATGTCGTTCTATTTTAATTACTGAACGCTTTAAAAATTTGGATGATAGTGTAAACAATATCTTAACATATTAAATGTGTAGGCAAGCTTCATTATAGAGGAAGGTTAAATTTGGTTATGAACCTTCTTTCTTCCCTCTTAAGCAGGGATTGCAAACTCATGTCAAAACCTATTTTCAAATCTGCAGTAAGAGAACACCAGTTAGTACTAACAGTGGTTGGCACTGGTGCATATACAACACAAAACTTTGGTTAAGATGAAAGATAGAAAGACAGCAAGAAAATTTGCGCAGGAGAGGACCAGAAGGAAAATATGATGTTCTTGCAACTGGGTCAGTATTTACAAACCATTGTTTGCAGGTAGCATTGGGAAGTGGTTAAAATATGTGCATGGAAGTGCAGGCAGCATTTTTAGCTTACTGCATTCCAAAGCAGCAAAATAAACATAATATGAATTTGGGAACTTAAATGCAATCACCTGCCATTTCAACTTTGAAGAACTGAACCAATGATTGTGTGAAGGAAAGAATCCATTTATCCATGATGTTGTTATTTTCTTTTGTTGTATTCTCATTGTAAAGGAATTCTTTTCCATCTTCCTATGAACATGGGTAGAAAAAGATGTAGCATTAGAATTTTGCTGTAAGTGGAAGACTCCCAATCAAAACCACTAGAATTTTAGCCAAGAAATTTAAATATATAATTTGTCCAATTAAATACAGTTGCTGCACAGCAGTATCTTTATCTGATTGTACTGTATTAATGTAAACAATATTCTTGTAGTTCATAAGTCTTTTAAGCGGCCAGTTGCAACTGTTCATTCATTAATGCATGTTTTCCTGTACGTAAACACAAGAGTAGCTTGCAAAGATAGCCTGTTTCTGTGAAAAAATGACCTAATCTGAATGCTGTTATTCTTAAGCCTATCTTAAGCCGATCTTAAGCATACTGAGAGAGTTGCAGATTTTGGTCTAGTTCTATCTCTTCAAATAGCTTGGGTGTCACTTGTGGGGAGGAGCAGAGACCTGCCTATGTCTTCAACTTCTCCCAGGCTCTCAAAGAGAAAGTGTGGTGTACTTTCTTGTACTGCCAAAAATACTATAAAAAACTAAGCTAACCCTACCTGGATGAACAGAGCCTGAAAACAGTCACCTATGCCATGGTATCGTCCACGGTCCAGAAATTGCAATCCGTACAAATTGAGCAGCAAGAATGGTAACGGATGCACCTTTTAAGAAGTCCATCACTCCAGTGCTCAAAGAGCTGCACTGGCTACCAGTTGCTGCCCGGGCCCAATCCAAGGGTGCTTGTTATGTCATATAAAGTCCCAAACGGCTTAGTGTTCAGCTACCTGAAGCACTGCCTCCTCCCATATGAGCCTGCCTGTCCCTTAAGATCAAGTCAGGAAGCCCTTTTGCAAGTGCCATCCCTCACAGAGGTGAGAGTGATGGCAAATAGAAGAAGGGCCTTCTCGGTGGCTGCTCCCTGCCTTTGGAATAGTCTCCCTAGCGACATCTCCCTGGTGCCATTTCTATTATTGTTTTGATGTCAGGCAAAAATGTTCCTTTTTAAATAATTGATCCTGCCCTCCCATTCACTGTCTTGTTATGTTATTATTATAAGGTTTTTAAATTTTGATAATGGTGTATTTTATTGCTTATTATATATGTATTTATACTTTTTATTGTAAGTTGCTTTGAAACTTTGCTTGGTAGATAACATATAAATGGAAATTTAAATAAATAAAAATATCAATAAATCAATGCTGCATGTAACACCCAGTTAGAAACAGTGTAAAAAGACAAAAGAGGCGGTGTAGAAAAGATATCATGCCATGAATGTCACCAACAAGTCTCTGTGACTGCTCTAGAAAGGAGCAGAATTGCACATATGCAGTCCTTCAATGTTTGTATCCTCCTGGAACTCAGACAATATATACACAAAAGGAAAGAGTGCTGTGCAAATATATACATATTCCTTTCTCCCACCCTACCACTCCAACTAATAGAAGCAGCTGGAGTCCAAGCGGAGTTCTCTGCCCAGTTATCACATATGGCCATGCCTGGCTCCCTGAGCCAGAGACTAAAGAAATCAATTTAGAAAACGACCACACAGAGAACACCTGTAGCCAATCAGACAGCTGCCTTCCCACAAGCACACAAAGGTAACAAGTGGACGGTTTGTCTGTCATTGCCTTGAGTCCAGGCGGTGGCATCACACAAGGTAGAAAGCTATTACATGAGTGAACAGAGAGCCTTTAGTATTGCAGTTTGAGTATGGTTTGCAATCCTCTCTACTTAAAATGCCACCTGCTTTTCTCAGTTTCCTCTTTCTGTGCAATAGTGCTGGGGAAACCGAGAAGTGCTTTTCATTATGCTGGTATACACTTGCATACTTCTGTCTACCCTTTCCGTGCAATTCCTGTTCCTATTGTGGAGCACAGAACTATGGTTTCAAATGAGTGACTTTCTGGGTCAGGGGCACATGCCTTTCCTTTGCACTCATCATAAACTGCCAAAAAAAATGTTTTTAGTAGTAGTTTACAAATCGTAATAAAAATCTTTAAAATAAATAAATAAATAAATAAATAAAGTTAAACTGCCCCAGTTCGCCCCTGGCTTCCTTCTGAGCAACAGGTTCCTGCCTCTGCCCTGCCCTTCTCCCTGCCAGCTGCCTCAACAAGAGAGGTGCTTGCATATAGTGATAGCTTCTGTTGCTTTGTTCACTTTGAATAGTCTGAAAAACACTTTCATTAAAAATAGCTGCTTTTAACATTCTCATTTCAGGAACTCTCCCTTGGACTTGGCCCCCATTAGAAGGATACAAAGTATTGCCTTGCAGACTTATGGTACATGACATTATGTAAATAGTTTATCCGTCTGCCATCTTAAAGCACATTTAAAAGGCTAAATGTAGCTTGGAAGACATTTGCCAGACCACTTGAATTTACTGCTTGCCTTTTGCATGAAATGGCCAGAACTTTTCTCTCAAGCAGTACCTACCAAATGGTATGCAACACCACATTATATACACATTTAAATAATCTGAGCCTCATTTCTACAACCTATTTAGGGGAGAAGATATTTTTTTTTTTTAGAACAATTGCCCAAGTATTTCATTTACACCGATATGTATTTCAGGCATAATGCTGTTCAGTATGCAAGATATAATGGAATCTGTATACTGGCATCAAAACTACAGTTATTTTAAAAATGTAAAATATTAGAGCAACCTGAAGAACTTTATTATGAACAGTGCCTGGGGACCCCCAGAAATAGCTGATTAATTATGAGGTTTCCAAGTTCTCCTTGCAGAGGTGACAGCTAAAAATGTAAACTAATTTTCATTACTGTTCCTTGAAATCTACTGCCTTTCTTATAAAGTCTCCAAAGTAATTTTAAAAGCTCCTGTATCATGAGAGGCAAGTAATTATAAGCTCTTCAAGTTATCCATTTGTCACTGGAAGCATAATGTATTCTTGTATAATGCATCTATTGAGAAGACTTCTCCTACCAGAGAACCCATCTGCCATGTCCTCTCATCAATAAATTATTTGAAAAGTAACCATTTAGCAAAAGTTGGTTAGATAACCAACAGATCAAGATTTCAGATCGATCTGACAAGAAGAATTTGAAATGTTCAGCATTGTCAAGTCATAGTTTTCTATCAGGTACCCAAACAAGCAAACTGTTATCCTTGATTTAAGAACACTTACTCCTTAAGGAAGCCATAATACTATCAAGCTAAAGTTTGGTATTGATAAAATTATATGAAATTAGGTACATGCCTGAAACCAACTTAAACTGCTTCATTTTGAGTGTTTTCCCCTTTCTCCTGGTTAAACCCCCATCTCTACAATGTCGAAACCAAGAAACAGAACTAGAATTCTCCACAAGCCAGAAAAGAGCACTCAAGCTTACTGCTGCAACAACAAACTATTGTTTGCTGAAATTTATTTACTTATTTATTTAAAACTTTTATATCCCGTCACCACATGCCTCGGCATCTCGGGAAATGGGAATGATGCATTTGGATTGGATTCACTTAAGTTCTGGGAGTGCTTGAAAGGCAAATAAAATTATCTAAATGTTGGCTTGCTTTTTAAAAGTTGTACTTTTCCATTGGAAATTATTAACCATGTTTCTCTCCTCCCACTCTTTCATCCCAACTCTGCCTCTACCCCCTGTAACAAGACTGCATACACCAAACAGTATGCTCTAAAGGTGATGGGAAAAGGCATTACTAGCGTGTTGAGATGGAGGCATGCAGGAAATAGTTTTCCATAGCAGGCCCCCTTGTATGCTGAGAGGTCAACAATTTGTGCTGATGCTCCACTGAGCTGTATCTGGAATGGCATGTGCGTCCTACTGCCTTTCAAGCAGTATTCACAACTTGGAAGTATGGACAACTTCTTGGCGTTTTGTTTTGTATTTTTGGGAAACAAGATATAGGTCACCCATTTTTTCCACCCACTATAGTAATTCTTAAAACTTTTAGACTGAGCAGTAAAGCAGGCTTCTTCTCTCTGAGTTTTATTTTTTAGCAGCAATTTTAGGCACTTCTAATCTCTTTTTTCCCCATTTTAATCACACTGTTCCTCCAAGGAACTCTGAGTGGCATCCTCCCAACAATGAGGTAAAGTAGGTTAGGCTGAGAGATAGTTCTGCCTAGTTTGGTCTGCTGCTTCAACGCTGCTCTTTGTTGAGAGAATCCAAGCAGCTCACATTAAAATCTTAGAATAGCGACTTGTCCAAGGTCATTCTGCCAGCTTCACTGCCAAGTGCATATGAATGTGAGTATCTCTGTTCCTAGTCTAACACTCTAATTACTACATCTCTAGTTCTAATAAATAAAACAACAAGATGGTAAGCTACAGCTTTGTTTTATTTCAAAATTGCACCAACACATTTATGAGCCATCTTGAGAGCCCATTTGGTCAGAAAGGCAAAATATAAATAAAATAGAATAAAATAATAAAATAGTGGGTACTATGCTTTGTGACCAAATTAATACAATACAGTAAGAGAGAGTTGTACCTTAAGTTGCAAGATGACAACATTCTGAATGAGGAAGCGATATGCATTGTACCATGGCAAGAAGACATCCTTCAGAACGTCTCTCACCCCTTCTTCTTTAAACCTCAAGTTTTCTGCTCTTACCACAGGAGAATTGATAAGATACAGCCTGCAGCAGCATGTAAAGATAAAATAGTTGAATGAAAACTTGTTCTGCTTTTTAAGAATGTGCACATAACTTAAAAACAATGACAAACTTCCAGCTTTGGTGCCCAAATTATATTGACGCTCCAATATTCTGTTCAGTGCAAGGAAAACTTGTTTACATTGCTCATCTTTATACTTGGTATTATGAATAAAGTCCTTTTCCCACTCCTCCATCCAACCTGCAACTAAGTAAAAAGGCATATACATTTGTAGCATCAGTCAATCTAGCTGGAGATATTCTATTTCCTATCTTCCCCCTATATTGGGCTCTTGAATGCAAGTTTGGAAAAGCCTCTGTAAGAGACTATACGCTCAAGTTAATTTCCACCATCATCCATTTCAAATAATGATTCCACATTTCAAAATGGCATGCTGGCTTCTGGACAGCCCACCACTGTATAATGTACAGAGGCTCATGCGATGGGGCGGCATAGACGTTGTCTAAATAAATAAATAATGAAGAAAAGTTTTAGTATTTTAGCAACTCTGTTCAAAGCACATTTGTATGGAACAGAGTTTTACTGTGCTCAGTGAGGCCTGCTCCCAGGAAAGTGTCCACAGAAATGCTGCCTAATGGAAAGAACATGGTTAAAACCTACAAAACAGGAAATGGAATATCCTTCAGTGGAGTACTGGCAAAGGCATGGCACTGCTGGCCGTATATCCATTTTAGAGAAACTATGGAGACCTCACACTACTGTCCTGCATTTTCAGCAAAAATGAAATATGAACTATAGCCACATTCCCAAAGGATGATGTTTGCTGAAATCTGATAAAGAACGAGTACAGAATTTATACTGGGTTTAATGTTCATTGCAGAATCCAACAATCAAACTATGTTCAAGTACTTAATCTGTACTGGCCAAAGGCCACTTCAAATATTACAAAAATAACAGGTTCATGTGTGTATAACCAGTGTCAACAAGGTGTGCTCCCTTTGCTTTTTAAAACATGCCTCTTGCGTTCCTTGAAAGGCATGATGGGTCCATGTGACTTAAAGAGAAGTACCAGGTATTCCTCTCATGTACAAGAGGTGCCAAAAGCATAATGAGAACAAATCTGGAAGGAAAGCTCAAAGCCGTGATTTGGTCATTAACTCTTGATGTACTTTGATCTCACGACACTTCCCTGCCCCTAGCATCTTATTAAAGTGTTCTAAAAATCCCTTAAGCAGCAGCAGAGCTGAAGAAGTGTGTGTCAATGGATATAAGTATATTATATATTATTAATTGTTATAGTATGTGAATGGTGGTAGTATTGGTCTCCAGGTTGGTGGGAGCACTTTATCATTTACTTTTTTTAATTATTGTGTTCTTGTTATATTATTATTGTTGTGATGTATTGTATTTATGGTTTTTTTCTGTCTATAAAAAATTAAAAAGGAGGAAAATAAAAAAAGAAGTGTGTATCAGAATAAAATTCCACAGAATGTTTTTGGTAATAGTTTTTTTTAGAATCCAATATTCAGGCTATAGGAATAAGACCCAATATCCACATTTTCATGTGATGTAAAGATGCAAGACCAGCACAGAGACAACATTTTGGTCAATGGGTAGCACCCAATACTGCTAAGTGCACCTCCCATTAGTTCTGTTGCACCCACAGGACCAACTGGTAGTGTAACAGAAGTACTTCCTCAAGCAACCCGGCAAACTAGCCAAAATGTCAATTTCTGGAATGGGACAGGTCAGCGGAGCTCCCTGGTGGAGGTGAACGGAACTGTCCTGTTACAGAAATTGACATTCCCATTAGTTTCTGGTTGCTTAAGCAACTGCCAACTACCCATAGCACTAGAGTTGGTCCCAACAGAGTATGAGCAGTACTGGCTACTGCCCAAGCAACCTAGAAGTAGCATTTGGAGACACACTGAATATATGACTAATGATTGGAAAGTCTACTTTAGTATACACATTCAATACTTGCTGCCCCTACTCTGATCTGAAATTCTCTTCAAAATTTGCACATGGAAGTAAAAAGCTTTTCCACAGAAGCTCAATACAGAAAGCAAAAATTTACAAGTAAGTTATTCATTGATTCATTATTTATTTTCAAACTTCTAGGCCAATGAATAGCCCTCCAATGCTAATGTTTGACTTTTGAGAACTCAAACACCAAACAAGCATTTCAGAACTCAAACAACCGATCTCGAGCTCTCTTCTTAAATCAGTCCAGTAAACACTGTTTGTATTCTGTGATGGAGTATGTATAAATAGATGTTGGTATACACAATTCAGGCAGGCAGCAAGCAAATGCATGTTTATCCTATTGGAAAAGTGAAAATAATGAATATTCCTGAGAGTTTGGGATATATATTTTAAAGAGCATATTCTTTAAAGTGAAAAAATGCTGATAATATTTCAAGTTCTTCACCTGCTCAAAATTATTTAAGACTACTCAAATAGAATTCATATATCTTTGATCTATAAAAGGCTGAATTACATGATAATTTCTAGTAAATTGTCCTATTTCACCCACAAGTGTAGACAGTCTTCAGTTCAACTAGTTCCACTAAAGACACTGGTTATCACTTTTCTAAATCAACAGTGGGAAACCAAAATTCCCAATGTACTTTCTGACACAAGTATTTATAGAAAGTATTAAGGATATGCCCAGGTTTGCATTATTCATACTGAAACACTAAAAGCTGCCATGGTGCAAGTTATTTGCATTTGAGCAGCACCCAATTGCTCTGCAGGCACCTAGTTTCTTTTCTTGAGTTTCTTTTTAAGTTACCCACCATTCCAAAGGAGGAAATATGCATGCATTGCCAAATGGTTGCACATGGATAAAGCACAGCACAGCAAACTACAAATGCTAGCTACAAATGCAAAAGATCTGCAAACCTTAAGGAAAGGAAAGGGAACACCAACAGGTTCCTACCTCAGTGCATCTGCCCCATAAGAATTTACAATGTGTGTTGGGTCTGGATAATTCTTCTTTCGCTTGCTCATCTTTTGCCCATCACTGGAACAAGTTAAACACAGAGAGAGTGACAAAGTTTGCACTTGTTGGTAGTGTTCTCACAGATAATTCATCTAATCCTGGCAAAGAAATCAACCCAACTTTTTCAAAACAGAAAGTACTAGCCCGTCTGAAAATGTATTACATCTATTTTTACAACAGAACCCCCCCCCTGCAAATTACAGATGGAAAGATGACTATCATTTTTCCGACCCACATTTAACCTAATGATTATGTCCATGACTGTGGACATTTAAACCTGGATGCTTTCTGAAGCAGAGTGGGCTTTTTATAATAAAATAACACAACATGGAAACTCTTAACACTTGAAGCTTGGTTTTCTATTGAAGCAGAAACCCAGCAAAGAGGGAAATATTCATAATATACTTGCCTGGCAAGAACTAGGCCATTTACAATTACATTCTTGAAAGGAGGCTTCCCAAAAAGAGCTGAGGACAACACTAACAAAGTGTAAAACCTGAAAAACAAAATGTACAGGGACTGATTCTAGACTGGCAAATGCTAAGATTGCATACTTTCAAACCTTCTCTGCTTCCAAATTTTTAATTAAGCTGAATTGTTTCTTTCCACCCCATTTAAAAGCCCAAGGACATTAAGAACCACCAACACATTCATTGTCCAAAACTAAATTCTTATTGTACAGGATCTTGTGTATTACCATCTTCCAATCACTGGCTTCTAGTCTTAAAGTGAAACCGGTAAGCCAGAATTTTTTAATTACACTGTGCACTTTGGGGTAAAAACACCAAACATGACATGAATCATGCTAAGACATCTTTTTATGTTCCCTCCCTTCCATCTACCAGCTGTTATATAAATGGACATTAACGTTCATGAAAGACTGCATTCTTCCATATAATTTCACCTGGCGTTTAAGGTACCACCAGGGAGAGTCTCTTTCTCAGTTCCTTCACCATGCAAGGCATGTTTGGTGGGGACAAAAGAAAGACTCCTCTTAGTGGAACCTCTTAGGCTCCAGAACTCTTGCCAGGGGAGGCTCAGCTGCTTTCTTTTAGACATCCTTCCACCATCAAGCAAAGATGATTTTAAGGTGGCTTTGGGTATATAAACTGGCTTACTGCTAAAGAAATTTCTAACTGGGTGCTGTTTATTTCCTTTACTATTCCGTTTTTAAAATTCTGTTTTAATTGATTTCATGTTATTTTTAAACTAAGATTCTGCTGAAATCTATATTTTATTCTTATTAGCCACCTTCAGTGCCATCTCTTGTGGGAAGGAGGGATATAAGTTCAATAAAGAAAAAATACTTCTTGCTCATAAAGGAGTGTTCTCTAAATCAAGAAAATGTCCCCAACAATGATTGTGGGATATTAATAGAATTAGATGATAAACATCAATTGAACTTACACAGATGAAACATAAAAAGCAGCATACATGTAAACAATAGAATATGGAAGCCTATAACATATTTTCAGAAAAATATACATAGCAAAGTTTTTACTAGAAAGTAGCACTGAACAATGCAAGATGCCAACCCTAAAAAATCCACCATTCTCCTAGTCTTAATAACAGATGTTCAAAACCAAAAAATAAAGTTGAAGATATTTTATGTGTACAAATTAATATTGTATGGGATACAAATATGATCATGGATTTGTCCTTATTATATGGATAAATATCAACACCTCTACTTCCACATTCATTTCTACATACATTTTGTAGAATTGGCACCAAAGCATCATGCTTGAAAATGCCTTGAATCTCAATGGATTTGGGGGTAACATGTGACACTGTGGCATGGCACAGAGGCCACCTTCCTTGAAATCTGGATACATGAACTTATCTAAATGCTGTTGTATTGTGAAACACTTTGGATTTTTTAAATAGGAAGTGCTCAAATAAAGAGTAATGCATGGCCTGCATTCTTTACTAGTTGAGTGTGCAATCTAAATTATAAAAATGTAAGCCAAATGCTATTTAAACTATTATTTTAAAATCATGATTAAATCCTACACATCTGTAAAATTCCATACAGATAAAGGACAAAAATATTACCATCCTCTGGTTTGGTCAATTCCTTCAGCAATGAAGTCAGCAGGAAAAGCATCTTCAAATTCTCTTTTGTTCTCAAATGGATAATGGACTTGGGCATAGGGCATACTTCCACTTTCAAACCAGCAGTCAAACACTTCTGAAACACGATGTAGTGTACCTTTGCCACAACGTGAAGGGATGGTTATATGATCAACACTACAAAGAAAAAAAATATTCCAGCAATAGTTTAAGTTCTGCATTTTCATCCCAGAAGTAGGACACTGGACTTAAGTAACCAATCACAGAGGCAATTAGGAATTCTAAACAGGATATTCAAAACGCTTTCATAGATTTTCCAAATCAGCATTCCATTAGAAAAGTCAGAATGAAAAAGATTTCACCAGTTTTGCAAAATTGACAAGTTGTATACTTACAGTCAAATTATTATATTGAAAAATTGCTCAAAGATACCCTAATGTACCAGATACCTTTCCAGGTCACTTTCACTTTTCAAGAGGATGATGATCAACCGATAGCCAGCTAGCTAATGCCAGAAATAAGTTGATTGCCTAAGAACCAGTGTCTTGTTAAGCACATGGACATCGTTCTTGTAAATAATCTTAGACAATTCAAGACCATTTACAATATGAATCTGGTATAACTAGATCAATAATTATGATAAGCAATTATATCAAAACATTCCTTTATGCAATATGCATTTTCTTCCAATATTAATCTGACTACATAAAATATGCTGTTGTTGTCTTTATTATATGCTGTCCAGTTCTCTCTGACTTATGGCACCCCTATGATTGAAAGTCCTCCAAAATGTCTGGTCCTTGACAGCCCTGTTCAGCTCTTACAAACTCGAGACTGTGGCTTCCTTCATGGAATCAATCCATCTGGTCTGTCTCTTCTCTACCTGCCTTCAACATTCCCTAGCATCACTGTTTTCTCCAATGAGTTTTGCCTTCTCATGATGTCCCCCCAAAAAATAGCTTCAGTTTTGTGATTGTTGCTTCCAAATGAAGTTTTCTCTTGCTTTGTCCTAGGACCAACTAGGTCATTTGGTCCTAGGACAAACCCTGTATAAACTTTGTAATTTACCACCTACCCAGGGACACATTGCTGAATGAGAATCTAAAAGAAAGCTGTTTTAGAATCATATATATCTATATGATCTATATTATATTAGCACTGTAATACATATACAGATTCTAGATTATATTAGAATTACATAAGGGTAGTCCTTATGGCTTGTTCTCAGGCAAGCATGCACTCAACACTACGAATTGTGTACTGCTCAAGTTACTCATTTTAACCTAAAATTGTTAGCCAACCAATGGAGAAGGGCTTGGTGACGTCTCCACATATTATTTGAAAAGTTAGCTAAAATAGCTATTTTGCAAATAATAGCTAATATAGCTACTAACTTCCAACAGACAAAAACCTCATTCAGACACAACAATAAACGATGTTTTTACATTATGGGAATGAGCCTAGGTAAGCCTGGGATTTGTGTACTTCCCCTCCTCTCCTACAGCTGCACAGAAGGAAATACTTTTTTTGCAACAACATCTAGCTCTTCTCATCCCATTTTCTCCTAATAAAGAATAAAAGAATGGAAGCCTTGTCTCAAATGTACTGAAAGTATGTTTAAAGAGAAAGGCCTGAGGAACAAAGTACTTGTCCCTTTGTAAAAATCCAGGTTACCTAGCAAAATGGCCTAGTTTCCCATTACCTAACATCCTGCCTTCCATGTTTCAAGCATCCACCATACAATTAGGCTGGGAATCCCCCTTGTCAGTTCTCTCTACCAGGATTGGAAGGAAATTCCAAAGGTCTCACCTTTAGTTCTACCTTTCTGGGCTGATAAAAGGTATTAATGTCCAAAATGTCGTTGTATACATGCTAGATATGCCATGCCCAAACCCACACAATTCCGCCCCATGAGCCTTACCTTAACCTCATGTCTATACCTGCCTAAAAGATCAACCTCCTTCCACTGGGTCAAAAGGAGTGGGGGAGATCATTCCCTATGAAAACTCTGCTATGCTTGTTAAGCCTGATGGGAGCTGTAGGCCAAAATGTCTAAGGGCCACAACTTGCCCACCCTGCTTCACAGAATAATATGTTTAAAATAATATAATATTATTTTAAAATAATATCTTATTTTCTCCCTCCACCCATCTTAATATCTCCTTAATGTTAAAAGTGTTTAATGTATACTTTTGACAACTCAAGGATCTGTGTCAGACTATAATCTTATGCTACATGCTTTGAGCATGAGGAAATAAGAGAAGGGACAGTGGGGACTGGGAATTTAGCTGATAGTTGATTCCTCCCAGGTTGAAAATCAATCTGCAATTCTTGCAGTCAGGGAGACTTGAGAGCTGATAACAGACTTTGGTTGGAGCAATGCACACGGGCTGTGCAGCAGCTGAGCAATCTCCACAAAGTCATCTGCCAGCTTATTTTTAACCACTTAAATGAAGGTTGCATTTTAAAAAAGGGTTCAGCAATGACGTTAGCAAAGATTTGAATAAGCTACAAAAGATTTTGGCTTACTTTTGCCAGAATCACTAACCTTTCTCTATGGAGATCGGTGACTTTCACTCCTGAAAATTCTTCCAGTTCTGCCACTGATCCAATACAGAGCACCTGGTGAAGTTCAACATATTAGAAATGAAAAATCAAACATTACTATAAAATTAAACACAATCTATAGGAGAAACATGTAATTGCAGAATCAATTACATTTAAGTAGCAAATTTAAAAATGTGGGCTTAAATTCTAAAACTGAATTTAGAAAAGTTTTTCAGAAATTTAACTACAAATATTGATGTATGAGGTCATCAGTGAATGATTGTTCATCTGCCACAGCTGGCAATGGATACCTCAGTTATCAGGAATCAGGAATCAAGAACGTCTTTTGTCTAGATAACTTGATCTGTACTGTTACATTCTAAGGACAATCAGATTATTGTATTAAACCAATCTTCACTTATTCGTACTTGTTTCTGACATACCTCTTCAAAATCATCACTGACCCACAATGGGATGGGTGTCCCCCAGTATCGGTTTCGTGAAATAGCCCAATCGCGTGCATCTCTCAACCAGTTTCCAAACCGCTTTTCTTTCACGAAGTCAGGAACCCTAATTTTTTGAAAGAATTCTTATTTGCAATCAGCAAAATCAGGATAAACTATTATGCATTTTCTGTATAACAGTAAATGCAATCAGTTTATTTTTCTAGTTATTTAACTCTTTGGTCAGCAAAATAAAACACTTTTCTACTTTCATGCAAAATGCATACATTTGTTTAAACCTTAACCTTGACTGAAAGATTTATGTTTCTTATGCTATCTAGGCTCCATGGGTTAAACTGGTAAGAAGTCTTAGAGGGTTTCTGAATGAAAGCCAGAAGTTTTTTTTTTTTGAAGAAATGTTGCATAAGAAGGCACAAGAACATGAATGTGGATGTTCCCAATGTCTTTTATGTGATAATTAAGTCCAGTGCCTAAAAGTAATTATTTTCACCTGCTTTTGTATGAGCTCTTAGCACTTGATAGTTTATAGGAAGTTTTGAGTTGACTATATCTGATGGCACTTTAATTGTGCTGCACTTTAACCTGAGCACCTTAATCTGACCATATTGCATGTTTACCCTATTATACTTTAATGTGAGTGTATTGTACAAAATAGGCTTGCCGTTGAAGTTTCAGCTAGTGCAGAATTCAGCAGCCAGTTAGAATCATACTGCACCAGTTTTAGGCGATCTACACTGGCTGCCCATCTGCTTCTGAGTCCAATTCAAGATGCTGTTGACCTAGCTTAAGTCTCAAATATCTCAACAATCAGCAGAGAAAACATGCTGGAGAACAGGTCTCTCTAGCTGCCCTTTTTCCTCTCCAGCAGACTTAGACAAAACACACAGAAGCACTCTTCTTTACAACAGCTTTGCAGGTGGCAGAACAGCATAAATTAATGATCTCTCTCAGATGTTCTTTTTGAGTAGCATCTTTCCATGTAAAGAGCTAAATCCAAACTGAAATACCCCCTAGTTCCCAGAAAGAGTCTGACTCTGAGTCAGGTGGTTCCTGCTGTTTGGGGGCTTAGTAATGGGACAGTGAATGCTTCTTAATTGGTCCATTCACTTAGCCAGCCATCTCCTGACAGGGTCAAGGAACTCCCCTTCAGTTTCCTTCCCACCCAGTTCTGAAATGCCTTCCTCCTTTTCCATGGTGGGTTAATTCTCACACTGAGTATCTTCAATTTGCAATCTTGAAATGGCAAAATCATGTGCTCCCCTCTGCCTCCTCCTCTGAATCTGAAGAATCCATCTGAGAAGGCAGTTACTTGAGAGTTGGGCCCACTCTCAACACACTTCTCTATTGTGGCACCATGACTACTGAACATCCTTCACATCAAGGTACAACTGGACCTGGTATCAGGCTCCTTTTGGTGCTAGGCCAAAACCAATTCGTTTTCCCAGAGACTTTAAACTGATTTATTTTAACCAGTTAATTCGTCTTTTTATGTATTTTCTGCCTCTTATTGCTTTAACTTATTTTGTTCTTCTGATTTTACTATATACTGCTCTCCTATCATAAAGGACAGTCTAAAATATTGGAATAAATAAAGAGTGCAGGGTTCTTAAGGATGAAGTGCCTAAGAAACAGATATTCTAACAGCAAGAGACCATGTAGCCAGCAAGACTACAACATATGAAACGAAAATCTTCGTTTCAAGTCTCAGTTTAGCACAGCAGTTTAACCACAGGTTGGCTCAGACACAATGCTTCACACTAGTTTAGTCTTGGATTTGGGCTTTCCCCCTCTCTAGCACAGCTGTGAGGCATAGTTCAGAAGCTTTAGTTTTCTATTTACCTGCTGTGCTATTCAAACCCAATAAGCATATGGTTAGTGAAAATCTTATGGTAGGCATGGTTTATGATTCAGTCAACGCATATGTGATCACACTAGAAAAGAGTGTGCGTGTAAGCATTAAGACTTCTTATAATGCTAAGGTGTGGTTTTGCATAGCCTGGCCATTGGTCAAGAATAATAGATGCTCTAACCCAGGGGTCTCAAACTCGCAGCCTGTGGGCCAATTGCCGGGCCGGGAGGGGCACGGGGGAGGGGCCCTGCGGCCTTCAAGCGCCGGCCTCCGGGAGCCACGTGGGAGGAGCAGCCCACCACCACCGCTTGATGCGGCCCAGCCTCACCCAGACTCTACTTCCAGCGGCCCCCAGGGAAGTTGAGTTTGACACCTCTGCTCTAACCCAACATCTAGGGGCCACAGTTCCCCATCCTTGGTTTAGTGTTGTTTCCAACGTAGCTAGTGAGAAGCTTTAAGCACTTTATTCTTGCTTTCACCCATGCATCTTTAATTATAATATGGCTTTAGATGTTCAAGCACTTTACATGCATTATATGGACATGCACATGGTAGGCATGCCATGAGTGGAGCTGGCTGGAGCTGGGGGTTAGACTAGATGGCCCAGGAGACCCCTTCTGACTCGCTTTATTTCTATATTATTGTAGCTCTTATTTTAATTTTTGTACTTCTATTCCACCTCGTGGCACAAGGGCCCTACAATAAGCAATAAAGTATGGCAATCAAGAGAGAACCATTGGGTGAGTTCATGGTAGAGGGAAAGGGTTGGAGCAAGGAAGTTCAGTGTTAGACACTACGAAAACTCTATTAGACTATGTTGCAAGGACATTACAAGGTTTTCTGAAACAGATTTTGTGAGGAAATAAAAAGAACAGTTATAACAATTCCAGGAGTAACTAATATTATTGTGAAATTGCAGGCCCATCAGCACAGCTTTCAATCTTCTCTTATGTAATTTAGAGACTCACAATCAATGGGATTCCTGCAGAGAGGCAGTCTAAGTAAATTCTGCTGATGGACATCATATATCCACTCAGACAAGTATGCTTTGTTTGGGATCTTTTTATAGCTATGTTACAATTTTACCACTTCCATGTTTATTCATTTAAAATATTTCTGTGTTGGTTTTCAGGATGGGGTTCTCTCAAAGTAGATTACAAAAAAGAAAGAAGTACCACAAAAAATCAATTGCATAAATATCAGTCAAATTAGAACAATTAATTAAAATTATCTACAACTCTACTGAGCTAGAAGAAAGGCATAATAAAAAACCTCAACAGCAAATTAAGAAGTTCCCAAATTTTAAGCATAAGCAGTAATTAAACCACCCCTAAGCAGACTGAAACCAAAATGTATTCAGAGTGGATTGAAACAAAAATGTATTCAAAGCCCACCTGAAAGCAAAGAGAAGGGAATGTTTCTTTCTGTAGTGAGCAAGTTTCTGAAATGAGGAGAGTTCTGTATTTCCACAACTTATTACTTATTCCACAACTTGGGTATGCAAGCAGAGCCTCCAAAGACATTACTATTGTTAAATTTATATCCTGCCTTTTTTAAGAACTCAAAGCAACTCCCCTCCTCCTGCTCTCAATCTTATCCCAAGTACCCTGTGAGGTAGGTTGGGCTTAGAATCTGTGACTGGCCCAAAATTACCCAGCTGGCTTCATGGCTGAGTGGGATCTCTCTCACCAGAGAGAGAGACAGCAAAAGGGGAGAGAGGGAGGACCGCCAAAGCTTCACCATAGAGAGAAAGGAAGTATAAAGGGAGAGAGGGGAGCCTCTGAAGCATGCCTTCCTGCTCCATCCATCAGGAGGGAAATCTCTCTAGTATTTCCTTGTGGTAAATAGCTGGTACTGGTGAGTTTTGGAGGGATGAGTGCTAGAGATAGTCATGCTTTTGCCACTTTCATGGGCCAAGTGCCCCTAACCCCCATGCACGTGGAGAAACAACTATAAGTGATCCGACTTACATACAAATTCAACTTAAAGACAAATCACCATTTTCTCAGGAACAGAACTAATTTGTGACCTGGGGACTGCCTGTCCTTGTCTACTGCAGTAAGGCAGAAGAGGACCAGGGAACGCCATTCCTCGTTCCCAATGATGAAGTGATGAAGCAGTTGCTGGGTGAGGAGGAGAGGGCTGTCTTTGCTGGGGCAGCCCACTCAATTGTTATGCCGGGTGCAGAGGAGGAGTGGAGTGCAGCACCCTCTTCCGGCAGCCCACATTCTTGCCTACATTCATCTCCTCACTCCATGAAATAATGCTGGTTAAGGTTGCCAGTGTTGTTCTGTCGGTTTATTGTTACCCCCTGAATTCCTATACTTTTCCAAGTGTCATTGTAGATTTACCCCAAAGTAATATTAAGTAGCAACAGACGTCTCTTTAATAAAGTCAGTCAAAACAGAATGCATTGCAAATTTCACTTCACACATTGACTTAAGCACAATACATTTTTTCTTGAGTTCTCGACACAGCTGTAAGTTATTTTTAGTTTGTGTGAAGTATATATAATGCTAAGTCGAATTCCTAGTATAAGAACTGCTGAAATAATTTAGAAAAGCCCAGCAGTCTAGTTTTCGGGTAGCATTAGTTTTTTTGCTTTGAAAAAAATGTAACTGCCTTTAAACATTTTAGAGTCTGAACTCATTACAATTACACTGTTTGTGTTGACCCTGAGAGACCCACTCTAACAAGGAGAAAACTGAATTAAGATAGAAAGAGCATCTGAGCAATTCACTAATGTGAAAAATGCAGTTTGTAATCTTGCTGTTTGATGCAATAACTTTCTACTTCAACATTTCGATAGACAGCACCTATAGCATGAAGTGGATAAAATGCATTCATTCATTGTTTAAGTAGCAAACTAGAGATCCAGAAATAAAGCAATGGAAGCAATGGTTATATCACCTTTCATGTACAAGCTTATACCATTTTTTATTTAATTCATAAATTGAGAATTTGAGAACTGTTATCAAAAGATCCAACTATAGTGCAAAAACACTAGAAAGCAAGATCTGTAGAATCTACACAGCCAGACTTACATAGTGCCTTACTCATAGAAAGGAAAACTCTTGGCAACTGCAGCACAAAATGTTTTGTGGGAAACTGTGTGCAGGAATATACACACCATCCCTGCAAAACCCTGACTTGGCTGGTTTGCAGAGTTGATACAAGAAGCTCAGGAAATCCCAGAGTTAGACACTACGGCTGTGAGGAGGCAGAGGGGCTCACCCCTCTTCCTGGGGCCTTCCACA